GAGGTCTATCAGAGTGTATAGGTATTGACCTGTTTTAGACAGGGTTGAGGACTCCTGTTTCATCTCATTTGAAGACAAGCAAGGAATGTTGTTAATGTTAAAGGTATAGACCACTTCTGGTCATGCGATTGCATTGTTAAAGAAACGTTGTGGAATCGATCAGAAAAGGTTGATCGTCTACCATTTAAGTATTGGTGTGTACTGCAGGGTTCTGGAATCATCAAAATGATAAGAAATTTGGCCCAGTCTCAGTAAAGTTACAAGCACTGTACACAAAAAGATGTATATGGTACTACCCTTTATCTATTCAGTCTAGATAGATATAATAATTTACCAATTATATCAATTAGTAGGCGGTTTCCCAGCAAAATTTGTATCATCATGTATTAGTCAAAACATATTCTTTCACATGTCATGATTGGTAATAAGAGCTTCCATTTCATTTTTAAAATAGAGGCGTTTCCAAAACTGGTCTTTACCTTTAATTCTGTGATAAAGGGAAAGTCCCTCCTGGCATCAAGGTGGTTTCATTTGGTTTAGTTTGATGATTTCTTTACCTGACTGCTATTAAAGAAAGCAGGAGTATGCTTGAAGCAACCAAGATTCCCAATAATAGCAGACAAATGATTGAATTGGATCACTGAAAAGTTGAGAAAAACCAAATAAGATACGAAAATGATATGTTTTAAATGAAGTGTTGTGATGTCCCTCACAAGCGGATCTCCATTTTTCTCCAAAGCAAAACATTTCATTATTCAAGTTTTCAAGTTTTTGATTGTTCCACATTTTACACAAAATATAGACATACATGTACAGGTAAATTATACTTACACATGTATACAATACGTTTAGTATAAATGAGCACGTCTCAATGATTCTCAATTCATATAATACTTAATAGATTAAGTAGAATGTGAGGAACCTATTAAAAAGCAGTGCTCGTTTATTATAGGTTCCTGGAAAAATAAGTATTTTAGATGAAAACAAATGTAGCAGGAGAGAAAGAAGTAATTTAGAGGGAGAATTTAAAACACAAGGAAATAGAGAAATTTGTATATAAAATAATGCATAATTTGTGCTCTTTATAAACGTACTTGTCCATCATTGGACTTATTCTTTTTTTCTTTCTATCTCAACTTCACTTTATTATTTCTGCATGTGAAATGTGAAATCAATAAAACTAAAAAAAAACCTCAAAACTTTGACATGCATAGTACATGTAGAACATTTCAAAGAATGAAGAAGAGAGATATAAGGATACAGATTAATTAGACATATATGCTCGACATGCTCGCAGTGGAAATCTTAAAGTTGCCAATTCCTGTATCTGTAAAACCATAATTTTCTTACCCGACATGTACTGTACATGTACATACATGTAATATACAAACTGTAGGTATTTCAGACTTTCCTCACAATTTTCATACTGACTATTATTTACTTTTATCAGTAATAAAAACTAATTCGTCATAATACTGAATTCCCTTCATTCTACATACAACAGATTGCTTTTTAATAATGAAAATACAGCATGTACATACATGTACATGTAGACGGAGTCTCAAACAGCATGTTTTCAGGCAATCAACTGATTGGAAAATCGTTGACTGAATATTTGATGACAACAGGTCATTCTATCAATCATCTGTCAGGCAATTACGTCATTAGGTAACTTTAATAGCTGCATGTAAATAGGCCAATCCTTTCTGCATTGATACTTGTACTTGATCTTTTTTCACTCGCCCGAAGCTGTCGATGTCAAAGAGAATTGTTGTTCATGAATACAGCAGCCACATTTGGTTCAAATTGGTTCAAACTTTGTATACCTGAGAAATGGGAATAATTCTTTGAGTTGAGTATTCATATCAGGTTAAGACGCACAACTGTGCCATGCCATTTATAGACATTTAACAAAGTAAGGTTGGAAGCTTTTGATAAAAAGGAGAGAAAAAGGGTTCTCTGGTATTAAATGTAGAATGAGGGTTTCTAAACAGATTCAAAAGTAGTACATTTTATTGTAGATACTGTATTTTTGATAATGTTGACAAAATTAAGTACCAGTAATATCTGCAATCATGCCTTATTTTTTGTATTCAAACTTATTGTTGAATTAAACAAATTGAAAAAGAAGAAAAGAATCTACTGTACATTGATGTACATGTACTGGTACCTCTTTTACAGTGGTAGTAACAATACAGTAATAAGATGCTCACCCAAATAACGGGACGGTCAAGAGACAGCCAAGCCTTATTCAGTGGAACAGTGGCATCCTTTACAACTAAAATTTCCTTTTCATGCAGCCAGTGGCACTGCTTCTATTGATTTTGGCGGTGCTCGGCATGGCCTAGATCTCAATATCTTCATTTGTAAACAAGTCCAACCGTTGCATTTCGGTTGTCGTGGCAACCAGAGAAGCAGCAAGAAGAAACGTGTTTCGAGCTTTTTGCCCCAATGAGGCGTGTAATGTAGTGAATCTGTTGTTCCTTTGGAGAGCGGGGCGGATCGTAATCTGATATCGATTGGCATGTAAGAGGTGACCATGAGGGAGGGAATGATCATGCTGCGTCTGTCGAGCGCCAAAAGGGTTTTGACTTGTACATGAAGGACCATGTGCATGTGTACTTGAAATACAGTTTAAATATCCATTCTTGCTCTCAATGGATGATAGTTGTCTTCTGGGGGGTGTTTCACAGAACTTGTCATCAGTGACAAATGACATTTGTTGTTATAAGCTCCTGAAATCCTTGCTTCTGATTGGTTATCAGCAGATTTGTCACTGATATTTGTTATTTGTCATTGAAAAAAGGCTTTGTGAAACGGGTCCCTGATCTGCTCCTAAGTTGCTTCCATTGTTGGTTGATATCAGTGTTCGATTCAGCTGTGACTATTTGGGTTAAGTACACATGTGGTGGAAGAACTTGTTTTAGGAAATACAGTACTTGTATTTGCAGAACTGGTTGTGATAGCGTCAATGATCGATTTACCATAATGGTGATCTACCTTCTTCTTCTTCTTGTGTTGCTTCCTTCGATAATATGAAGATCAGTGGTAAATCCATGAAGAGCTGAAGTCTTGGATTATTAGAACTGAGCTTAGATATCAAACACAGCAGAGAGAGGCACGAATAGAGTAAACCTTATGTACTGTACATGTAGGAAATAAAGACAGATGCAGTTGAGACGGTTTCTCTCATCTCTCATTTAAGAGAAGTCTGGGATAAACACATACATTGTGTAAACATGTGAGAACAGCCTGCATTTTCGATCAAGTTTGTTCAGTCCTCGAGTAGGGCCTCCAGCATGTGGTGGGATTTTAAAAGGAGCTGAGAATGTATCTGTGTGCATTCAAACGGAGATTGGCAGTAGGCTTCTGACTAGCATTTTATACACGTGTGTGGCAATTATTTCCACAGACATGTTACCGGTATATAAATAGATGGCTATGGATCTTTATGGACCTCCATAAACTTTATGGGCGTCTTGTGTGTTTCAACCACTGAGGAATGATTTATGAGAACTTGTTTGTTTGCGTGCAGTTGGAAGTTCTACGTTTACATCTGCATGAGATCATTTATCCATCACTTGACGCTACATGTACATGTAGTCATGATACAGGTCTTAAATTCTTCCATTTCTAGTCATCATTTGTGCTTTCTAATGATCAGAATTTATACATTTTTGCAGTTTTTGTTATCTGTTTGCTTTTGTATTCACTTTGAAGAATCAGATGAAAATTTGGCTTCAGCAATCGATTTTGGGGGGATTACAATACATTAGATGCAGCATTTATTGTCACTTCTTACAATGATGTACGTGTCTTCAATTGTGTGACTACAGACTTCTTAATCATGTAAACTCCTTTGACATTATGAGACCGTGCTACCAATGTATCTGGGTGTGTGTCATCTGTTCACATCTACTGAAGATCAGTTCAAAGTGCTCCGTCTCTTGAAGCAATGTCTTTGTGTCCAAGTCTGCCCTTGTGAACAATGGAAGATGAAAGCGAAGAATCTCTACGTGAGACTGGACATCATCAGGGCCAGACGACCTCCAGGCATAATCAATCTTCAACATGGACACCCAGTGCTCTGCCATCACAACCTCCACAGTTGCTGCTCACTCCAGAATCCACACTTGCCCTGTGGAAAAGCACTCCAAATGTCTGGTTGGATAAGAGCAGGTTGTTAACTCAGTCAAGTAATCACCATCCACAGCGCTCAACAAGTTTCAGTCAATTCTCCACGCTTCCGCGTCACTTCAGACTGTCTGCTAGTGAGGCAACGCCTCTGACAAAGCACCTACAGCCTTGTGAGGAGATAGAAAGCATCAAGCAGGAGCTGCTTGTGAAGCGAGTTATTCCTGCAGACTACCGTAGGACTGCTGTCCGTTACCACGGTGATGAGACGGTGGACCATAAGAACTGGGTTCCTTTCTTCATCTTGGTTCACTCGGTGGAGAATGTAGCGCATGATGTAGAAGCTCAGGTACAACCTACATGTACATGAACAGGGAGTAGAGGGGTCATCCAAATCTGGAATACACAATATAAAATCAGAGTACGGTATTCCGATTTTAATCACAAACTAGGAATATATTTTGATCTTGACCTCAGAGCTTGCCTAGAGATGGAAGCACTAGGCAATTATTATTTCATTCAAGGTAGATTCTGTTTGCAGCTCTAGTGTACATGTACTGTACATGTCAATTTGGTAGGCCTTCAGATACTTGTATAGTATTATGTACATTGTAAAGTGTGATATACACAAGTAGAAAATATATGAAAACACAGAACTGCATTAAACTGTAGGAAACATACATTCATCAAAATTATTGATTTAATATCTGAGATATAGTTAAGTTGGATGTAGTTTGAGGTACATGTACATGTACTGCTCGAGTTGAACACATTGATATTTTTGGGTGAATTGAATTTGTTGAATCACTAAGGTATTGGTGGAAAATCATCACTGAAATCATATTTGTCGTTCTTTCTTTTTTCAGGAAAAAGCCAAGAAGCAGACGCAGTACCAACTCCGTTTCAGTCTCTTTGACATAACTTTCAAGAGATTCTTTGGTAGGACCCTAGTTGGGCCAAGGAAGGCTTGCAAACAGAGCGCCAACCATGCTCCAAGGCTACAGTGCAATCTGGTAAGATACCTCTGGATTCTTCTCAAACTCATCCAATTTTTCTGTATCCACTTTTCCAACATTGCTCTGCTCCTCCAGCTCCTTTTAAAGGTAAAGACCAGTTATGGTCATGTGATTGCATTGTGAAAGAAACGTTGTGGAATCGATCAGAAAAGGTTGATCATCTAGCATATAAGTATTTGTGTGTACTGCAAGGTTCTGGAATCATCAAAATGATAAGAAATTTGGCCAAGTCTTTGTAAAGTTACAATCACTGTACACAGAAAGATGTATATGGGACTACACACACGTGCGTTATATCTCTCACACACCAATAGATATACTAATTTACCAAATATATCAATTAGTAGGCGGTTTCCTGGCAAAATTTGTATCATCATGTATTAGTCAAAACATATTCTTTAACATGAATGGTAATAAGAGCTTCCATTTCATTTTTAGAAATTGGGGCGTTTCCAATACTGGTCTTTACCTTCAATAGGTTTTGTGTTCAGGCAAAATTCAGGAAGTCATAATTGAATTCCAAGGTACATGTATATTTTGTACTACAGCGCATGTACATTGCATACCATGATTAGGAGCAGTGGTATGATGTGATTAAATGGATGGTTTTTTTTCTTCTTCAGATTCTATCCTAATGAATGCACTTGCACATAATTTGACTCAAGTAATGAATAAAAAGTAATAACCTTCGATTCAATCTTGATTAGCTAGTACATATTGCCTTCATGTACATGCATCTGTTAACGTTCATTAAGCCAAATCAATTCAAACAAAGTCACGTTATTGACTGTTTCCTTGACGATAGGGAAGCTAAACATGTCCAAAGTTCCTGTCGTTAAAAGTGTCAATAGACACGGGAAAGCAACATGTTTGGCCTCTTCATATTTGCATATATTTTTTTTTCTGCCAGCGACGACGAGGTGGTTGTTTGGAAGTCAGGCAGTTTTATTGATCCATTTAAAGATATGGTATGCAGCTCAATGTGGGTACAAAGTATCAGGGAACGACTGAAAGAAAAAAAATGCAACAAATTTCAATATTTTATTATAATGTGCATCAACATACAGTACATGGTATAAACTGTATTGTGTATTCATAGATTCAATTCAATTCAATTTCAAGATTTATTAAAAAACATGTGTTGCAGCCCAATGGCTGAATTGGTCATGTGTACAAATAAAACACTCATTGCATATTTCAAACATAAAATACAGTTACAATTGATTTGTCAACAGGAAAACGGAGAGGAGAAACATGAAGAAAAGAAGTAAAAGAGGAAGTTGGAGAAAATGCATGTACATCAACAAATATAAATTGCATACATATATGTTTAAAGAGTCATTAAGACAATATACAAATATAAAAAATAGAAAAGAACATATTCTTTTCATAACATTGTTGAAGATTGATATTGCAAGTATTTGTATTATTGCTTAGAAAAATGACATAAAAAACAAAACAAATTATGGCACTCTAAAGAAGTAAAAGAGGAAGTTGTAGAAAATGCAGAAAATAGATATTATAAATGGGTCTCTTTTGAGGTGGTAGTGATACACATCCTTGTAAGGAATGGAAATAAGTTATTATTAGGCCAATGATTAAGAGAGAATACAAGAGGAAGGATTTTAAAAGATATTTATCTAGAGAGAAGAAGGGGAGGATATCGAGGTAGAGGAAGATACTTTGCATAGAAAGAGGTACCAAGGGAGTGTGTTAGGGATGTGACAGAGAGAGAGAGAGAGAGAGAGACAGACGGACGGACGGAGACAGAGACAGACAGACAGAAACAAAGAGCATACATGTAGAGAGAGAAAGAGAGAGAGAGAGAGACAGACAGACAAAGAGCATAGAGAGAGAGACAGAGAGACAGACATGTACAGATAGACAAACAGCTAGAGAGAGAGAGAGAGAGGCAGCTGGGGAGAAATTTGAAGAAATGTAAACAAATTGATTAGCTTAAGGGGTTCCAAAGATTTTCCTTTTATTTACCACCCATACATGTATGTGTGCTGTACATGTAACTTTGAACAATCAGTTAAATGTTTGCTTGTACTACAAATAATATTTGTTTATGATAATTTTTTCTGGACTGTAAGAGTTTGCTTGATATCAGTTTTCATAAAACCTGTTTCACAGGTGGATAACGAACAAGAATATGGATGTAATGGGTTTGTATAGTTGTCTGTACACTATGTATGAAACTACATCATTCATTTGCACATGGATCATGAAGACCTGAAACTGTTTTGATTGAAGTTTTGAACTGAAAAAAAGGTTACCTGACTTTCATATTCACTGTAGATGCAAGGTACAGATGCTGTATCTACATCCTTTCGAAAGGAATACAGAAAATAGACATTTTACATTCGCTGTGCATTGTATCGTCAACATGTTTGAAATTACAATTACTGTCAGTAAATTCACACAGCCAATAAATTATTACTGACTTATCAAGGTTAGGCCTGTGAAAAGTGAAAGCGATATTTTATTGAATCATAAATATAAAGGTCATGTACTTGGTTGAGCACTTAAATTGAATACTCTTAGGTTTGCTTTTTTTATTAAATTGCTTTTTATGGAATATTGATATTTGTTAGGATGTTGCCATGCCAGCTACAATGTAACAACCAAATTATTCATACCCTTAGTTTTTACAAAACAATGAAAGTACCGGACTTCCGGTATGTGAAAAATAATTTGCCTCAATTTACAGGTACATGTATGTTTCTTTTTGTGATAAACATGTGTAACAGCTTACAGTATTGTACATTTAAAAGTATTCAACACAGGCCCTAATTCAACCAATATACCTATCATTCTTGAGTTAAGGGGATACAAAAACCCATTAAATTTACCATCGGTATAAATTATTTACGGTAGTTGTCTACTGTATACAAAACTGTACTGTACATGTATATTTGTTATACTTGTGGATTCAAATTTAAGCCAATTTGCAAAAGAAATAAAGTTTATAGTTTTATGCCTGGTAGATAATAGAGTGATTTTAAAGACTTTCTCATCCAAACCGTAGTCATTTACAGTAGGTTTTTTTTTTTTTTGTAAAGCATAGCGTACTGCACTTCACATTTGTGTATCTTATAACACACATATAATGCGCACAGCTACTTATTTATTCCCCATTTGCCAATCATTCAGTACGCACTAAAATAAAACACTGCAGTAAACCATCACAGTTTATGGCAGTGTACATTATGTGAATACGCCTTAAAGGGGAAGAAGGGGGACTTCCCCTTTAAGGCATACTACAAGGTACATTAAATCATGTCATTATTGACTTTCTTTCTCTTTTCCAGCCTGTTTACTTCCACACATCGTTGGCAGACCCTAATATTGTATTGATTGTGGAAATCATCGCAGTCATCTCTGATGCCAAGACAGGGCCTCGTCAGATGGCATGTGGATGGGGTCTCCTTAGACTGTTCCAACAAGGTATCCTATTCTTCTTCTTTACGTGCCATGTCCTGAGACGTAGGCGATCATGGAGTGCCACAACTCTCTATCCCATATTCTATGAAGTAATTCATTCTCCCTCAGATCAATTCCACTTTCAGAAATCTCACTCCTTAGGCTACTCATCTACAGAATCCTCTTTCTATGTACCCCTACTCCTCCTCCCCTCGATTCTTCCAGTCAGTGTAATATTTTCCAAACCATTCTTTCAAATAACATGACCCAAGAAGGTATCCTCATCAAGATGATTTTGATTATCAGTTCATGATTTCATTCTTCTAAAATATCATGGAAATATTGATTTAAAGCCCCACTGCACTATACCTATAGCTACTTGCACCCTCTATATAGCAAACAAGCCTAATCGGTGCCTGATGGTCCCCCATGATCCCCCTTTTCTTATGTTAATTGAGAGCTGATTTGATGAGATAACCACCTGCCAGTGACCTTGCAGAGAGGTCTACCTCCCATCCCCCTCCCCCCCCCCTGGCTTAACTAGTACAGACATTAGCTTTATAGTACCTGCACATGTAAAGATATACAGTCAAACCTGCATAGTGACCACCTGTCTACAAAGACCAAATTTTTTGTTTCCCTTTAATAGGCGGTCGCTTTAGACAGGTTTGACTGTACATAAAATATGCTTAATGCTGAGAGCTGAAAAGGCAGTTAACTTACAAACCTGTACATGTATTATAGGCTTTAGCATTGACACTCTGTTTCTCTCATCAGACACGATCGATCTATACAATACTCTGTACAAGTTTAACTTGCGCTTTAGTGCATGGGCTCTCTGAATTATTTTTACACTTGGCATGTTTGCCTACAGTATGGTTCAGCCAATGATTTGTCTGCATTCTGTAGTATTGATTATTGATTTTAAGAATGTAACTCAATCTCTTGGCGCCGTCCAAATATATAAATGTACAGTGTTTGTTCAAGACAGAGCTCAACCATTTTATAAAGAGTTTTTTTTTTGGAGACATTGTGTATGTCTACAGTGTACATGTAAATATCATCTTGTGTCTCCTAGAAGGGCTCAAACATATAAATGCACAGCCAGTATTAAAATGTACATTGAAATATTTATAGTTTCGAATTTTTTTACTACATCTACATTGTACATTTTACTCTTAAATCGTACATGTAAATCCATCTCACAATGTCACTTCTCTCACTTTGTTTCTTAATTCTGTCTTCTCATAATTTCAAAAAATGGAAAGAAAGAAATTGCCAAATGTCTTCTTCTTTTTTTTCCTCCTTCTGCTGTGCACATTACAGTAAGAATGATGAAATGCTTGTTGTATTGCTGTTGATGTTGTTTATTGGTTGTTATGTACAGGTGTATACCTTGTACAGCACACCTGCACCCTCAGATATTGTATCCTGATGAAAATATATGTTTTTGATACATCGAGGGGTCAGTGACACAAAGACGTAACTCCATTTTGGCCATTTTGAAAAAAGGGGTTTATGTGTCACTGAGCACTAATTGGGCCTTAAGGAGTTCAGTCTACATTTCACTAGCCATTGACTTCAAAGGGGTTTTGGGTGGAGTTAAATCTTTGTGTTTCCTGGAAAGCCCACATTTTTCTGAACATTTTGATATCAAATACATCATTTTGGCAAAATATGGAGTTACGTCTTTGTGTCACTGAACTCTCAACATGTAGCCTACCTTATTTTTTAAATATTTTTTTTGTAGGTGATATACCAGACACGTCTCAAGCCACGCCCGCCCCTGTGAGGAGGGTGGATGTTTACCATGGTTCCCCTAGAGCTCTACTCTATCTGCAGGATGATGATATTGAAGGTAAAGAACAAAGGTCAAAGGTCTTCCGTCTTTTAAGCAATTTGTCCACCTTTTCTTTGCATGGTCAGCTTTCCTTTCTCCATCCCCCTTCCCTTTTGACTTTGTATGAAAATAAAAGAACAACGTGCTATGTGAGTACCGGTATATTCTGGCAGTGACTTCATGGAGGGGGGGGGGGGGGGGGGGAGAGGGGAGAGCTCACACTCCTGCATCAACTCTTCTGCCTCGCCTAATACCTTTGTTATTCATGAGTGCTTTAAAAAGATCTAAGCTTGCCCCTTTCAACAATACTACATGTATTCACACAACTCTCCAACTGTCCTTCACACAGGCAATCCAAACATCACATTTGTATCTGACTGTCAGCTGTGTTTTACCATCAAGACCCATCGCTACCTGGAGAAGATCTTCCACCTACTCCCAGAGAACATCCTGGCTCTTGGCAATGACATCATCCCTGGTGTTACCATAGTGGATGCTAACTCAGGTAAGGGATAGACCATGGACACAAGTAATCCCTCGGATAGGACGTTAAATGGAGGCCCTGTGTAGAGAAGAGTCACCACCTTGCATGTTAAGAACCCACTGTACTATTCATATTAGAGTAGAGGGAAACTCCTGTGTAGAGGTCCACCTATACATCCCAATCAGTTATACAAGGACTAGAGACCCAAGGGTTATAGTGATTCAGTTCGCTTTTCGCCTTCCAGGCACAGGTGACGCCAAATGAATAAGAATGACTTACAACTGTAGCTTTATTCAACTATTCATGACATTTATTTAAACATATATATGTGGCTTACACCCAGTAAATAAAATTGATTGATCGATCTGTATTGAAAAACAAGTCAGAAAAAATCTTGGGACCAGCGGGACTTGAACCTGCATCTACTTGCCGGGTAGCGACTCTACCACCAGGCCATCACTGGTCCATGGCACAGTCACAATGAACTATAAACAAATACCCAAGCTCTCTTGATAGCCACAAATATGTTCAACTGAATAATTGAAATTTCTCCCAGGAAGCGTTACATTTATATTAAAAAAAATATTCATGACATTTGCCCACATTTTGTGGTTTGGCTCTGTAACTTTGTAATGTTTGATTCAAATTGCAGAGCCATAGAACATGTGCTTGTACCATAGGCCTTGGCAGAATGAGTTCAATACACCAGTTTACAGTTGTGTGCGCCATTTTAAACAAAGCTAATGACCTAGGAGTCATGTATTTATGCGTAAATTAAGATTGCGCCCATGCAAATAATGATGACATCACTGCCTGCGCGCTGCGTTGTGCGCGCACATCATCATTTGCATGGGCGCAATTTTAATTTACGCATAAATACCAGAGGTCAGAGGTTATTGGCCCCAATTTTGGGGCCAATGACCCGAGGTCAACTGTCTGCGCATGCGCACTGATACAACTGTAAACTGGTGTATTGCCTGCCTGCCTGCCTCTTGTCTCTTGATCAAAGATCATGTTTAATCAGTCATCTTTTTATTTGTAATCGCTTTTGTTCTTCTGGAGTATTTCTTAACCAAATAGTCTGTCCAAGTCAGAATTTGAAGACATCTTAGGAGAGAATAATTGAAGGGAGCAACTCTTTTGTTATTGTAGCCCTGAGACTGAGATAATGTAGGAAACATCCTTATTTTTAAATGAACAATTATTATCAGTCTTTTTTTAAACACTTGTAAAGATCAATTAAGTCAAACTTGTCCATCTTGTTTAGATTTCAAGGCAAGCCCCCAAATTTTTATGGCATTATATCGAGGCCATTTTTTATGTGGCCATTTTGATAAAAAGTGGTTTATGTATCACTGAGCACTTGGGCCTTAAGGAATTAAGTCTATGCTTCACTAGCCATTAACTTCAATGGTTGAGTGGAGTTACGTCTGTGTGTCACTGAACCCTCGAGATATAGATTCCTCATGGTTGTGTTTGACCCTTTCCTTTTTTACTCTTGCTTTTCTTTGTGAAGGAGGAGATAGTTTGAGGAAGCCCAAGCCAGTGAAGAAGGTCTCGTGTACCATTGATAAACTTCAAGTCACACTACATCCTAATGTCGAGAGGTTTGAGGAGGAGCTTTGTAAACTCATCAACTCTGACAGGATTCTAAGGGTAAGGAATTTTAGGGAATTAAAACAAAGGGAATTGGTAGATTAGCCCTCTTTTCCAGAGGGAAGGGCTCTCAATTAACCCTTAAAAGTCGCCAATGTAGGTGCAGACACTACTTTTTCTGGTAGATTATTCCAAGGTTGGACCACTCTGTTAGAATAAAAGTGGCCAGCCAGTTGTGTTCTGGGTGGGAGAAGAATCTTTGTGCTAGAGTTATGTAATAACCATTAAGGTATTTGTACAATAGGATAGGATAGGATGTTTGGAAAAAACATGTACACAGAAAGATATATTTATACATGTGGAACTTCAGATGAAAATATGTGTTTGTGTTGATTGATGAGTATGTCATGAAGAGAAAGACATACAAGAAACGACGAGGGAAATGTCTGAAAGATGTCAGTGAAGGCCTGCAAACCCGTCATCAGAAATATTAGGGTGAGAATAAGAGTGAGATAATAGAGTGGGAGCGGTGAGATAGGGAGAGAAAGAGGGAGAGAGAGTGTGAGAGAGAGAGAGAGAGAGAGAGAGAGACAGGGATTGGTCCTATACTGTATATTAAGTGTGCCACAAGGATACTCCATTGGACCTATACTATTCTTGAAAACTTAAGTGTATCTTTTAAAAATTACACACAAGAAATGTTTTTTGTTTCTTCTCAATGGTTAAAAAATAGAAATCACACTCCCTATACATTTTTTTATTTTTACGCAAACGTTTTCATTTCACATAGGAGGAAGTGACATCGGATAAAGGAGTGGTCCAAGTGGCTGAGAGGAGATTACATGTTGGTATCCACAATGGATGGGGGTATGTCGACTCCCCCCAGATCATGATGCTGGATGCTGATAAGCTGAGCAGAGGGGGTAATAGGGGTAGCAAGAGGATGGGCAAAAAAGGCATCTCTGGTTCCAGGTAAGGGATTTTGATGATGATGATGACAGTTATGGTGACTTTGATGATGAATATGATGATGATGATCATGGCAATGATTAGGATAATGATGATGGTGACAATGATGGTGGTGGTGGTGTTGATGATGATGGTGGTGATGAATTCTGATGATACTGGAAGCTGTGTTATACTTGTGTTGTGCTGTTCATGTAAGTGCACACAATAAGGTTCTCAATCATCTTTCCAGTACTCGCTTACCTCATCAGCGTCACTTGTGGAAAATGGTGGTGGTAGCAGGTGGTGGTGGTAGCTGGTGGTGATGGTAGCAGGTGGTGGTGGTGGTGGTGGTGGTAGCAGGTGGTGGTGGTAGCAGGTGGTGGTGGTGGTAGCAGGGGTGGTGGTGGTAGCAGGTGGTGGTGGTAGCAGGTGGTGGTGGTGGTAGCAGGTGGTGGTGGTGGTAGCAGGTGGTGGTAGCAGGTGGTGCTGGTAGCAGGTAGTGGTGGTGGTAGCAGGTGGTGGTGGTAGCAATTGGTGGTGGTGGTAGCAGGTGGTGGTGGTGGTAGCAGGTGGTGGTGGTGGTAGCAGGTGGTGGTGGTGGTGGTAGCAGGTGGTGGTGGTGGTGGTAGCAGGTGGTGGTGGTGGTGGTAGCAGGTGCTGGTGGTGGTAGCAGGGGGTGGTGGTGGCAAGTGATGATGACTATAGTAAAGATGATGATTGTTATTTAGTTGAATCATCGGTTTTAAAACAAAAACATAATTTTGGCATTTTTGGCATACATGTATATTACAAAGTCATAATCATGGATATCAAGTGAATTACACTTTTGATTAGCATATTGGTTATTTGTGTGTATTTGCATTCAGGGAGAGTCTTCAAGGTACATCTGTACTTCATGTGAAGGGCAGTATCAAGCTATCAGAAGTGGTCAACGACCCTCTCTTTAGCATCGTCTTCATGATGGAGTACATCGTCACCATACCAAACTCCATGAGTGATAAGAAGGTCAGTTTTAACTTATTTTTAAACGTAACTAATGCAGTCAACCGCCTCAAAATCTCTTGTTTGGCAATGGCAAGAAGCAATTTAAGGGGGATAAAACAAATCATATATGTAGCTACACCATACGTGTTATCAATGATCTGTATGTTTACAACATTTGAAAATGTAAAAATGCAGCCTCACACATTGTATTTGTCTGATGATTTACCACCGCATGGGAAGGGGCTACATTTTCATTTCTTTGCGTGTGTCTGATCATTTAAGATACAGTCAAACCTGTCTTAGTGGCCATCTGTCTTGAAAGACCTCTCTAGAAAGGCCACCTGTATACGGGTCCATGGGGGGGGGGGGTGTTTCCCTTGAATGGCCTTAATAGACAGGTTTGACTGTAATTTAGATTCTAAAAACACAATTTTCTTTGGAGTAGCACAGGAATCATCCATAGATAGGTGAATTAGATATTGTTGTAGTGTGCTGATGCCAGTTGTTTTTAACATTGTGTGTAAAGCCATTATGAGGAAATATACTGTATTTATAAATAGTTGTTTGTTACACTATTGCAATGCAAATGATATCTTGATATTAAAAGACAACTACTAGTATATGTGATTATTGGTAACAAAAAGTCTTTGTGTTCTTTGAAATACCCACCAGCTGAGTGCAAGCATGAATCGCCACCAGACCCGTAACATCGCTGTCCGCTGGGCTGCCTGGTGCCCGAAGTTCAAGGACTCCTTGTCTGAGGTCACCCTGACGTTTAGTGGAGGACCAGTCCCAAACCCTGATGGAATCCTGTTCTATAAGTGCAGTGATCCGTCCGCTGATGAGATGAACAAGATGGTGGCTGGAAAGCTTCAGTTTGTCTTCAAGATTAAGGTGAGTGATTCTCCATGGTGGAGGTGTCATGGTACAGCCAAACCAGCTTTAATGACCACCTGTATAGAAAGACCACCTGTCTACAAAGACCACATTTTTTGTTGTCCTTGAAAATGGTTTCTCATTGAAACATGTACTAAAGGAACCTGTCTACACAGACCACCTGCCTATGAAGACCACTTTTTGTGTTTCCCTCGGGCAGTTGCTGTAGACAGGTTTGATTGTATAGTGGTTCATTCACTTGACTCTCAAGCTAAGGATGTAGGGTTCAAATCCCAGATAATTGCACTTGCGTCCTGTGGCATGATAATTGATCCACTTTTGCCACTCTCTACCTAGGTACCTGGTAGGATGTGAAAGTCATTGTAAACATCTGTAAAATGGTGCCTGCTTGGAGTTTAATAAATGACTTATTTTTTGGGGGGTCATATATTTGTACATAAACAAATTTACTTGTAACTGTTTTGGAGACCATGTTGATTTGTTAGATATTACCTTGAATGCTCCTCTGGGTCTCAGCTGACAAATAACACTCATTTTTCTAGCCAGCCTAAACTGAATCATTTATACATCACTTGTACATTGAATATGATTCAGATAGAACATAATTATTCATAAAGCTGTGATTTTACGGTTATATAAATATGGAAACAACAATGTATGTTGGCAAGCCTGGAAATGCCATAGAAATCACTAATGACACAAACATGGTTTAATCAGATATCAGTAACATCAGTTTTTGTTGGTACATTTATCATAATATTCATGTTAGGCAATTATCTTTCTCACATTCTATTTACATTGCGAAAATTGCCGATGGACTTTCCCTGCAATTATCTGCTGCTTTCAATATATCAACAACCTTATCGTTTTATTTTGATTGCAGAAGGATGAATCACGGCGACCTCTCAGTCCACAGTCTACATCTGTGCCGTCAGAGGCTACCAGGTTACACAGGCCATCGGTAAGCTCTCAGTTCGGTCCTCCATCCCTTATCCTTTTGCAGTGTTCTTGAGTTAGAGAAAGCTGGGCTCTGGGAAGAGGTGAAAAATAATTTGTGAGCGTTATCATTGTATTATGCAAGTGAGAAAGAACATCAGATACAAAGTGTTCCCTGAAAAGCATGGCTCTTCAAATGCCTTACTATTTGAAATATGGCATGTAACATCTTAAAAATCGGGACGGATTTTTACGCCACATGTTTGTGTAGTCCCATATATGTAGTCCCATATCTTTCTGTGTACAGTGCTCGTAACTTTACCAAAACTGGGCCAAATTTCTTATCATTTTGATGGTTCCAGAACCTTGCAGCACACACCAATACTTTAGAACCTTTTCTGATCGATTCCACAACGTTTTTTTTCACAATTGCAATTGCATGACCAGAACTCAACTTTATCTTTAAAACATGGCTGAATAAAAGTTACTCATTCAGTCGCTGAGTACATGTAAAAGAGACCTATACTTGAATTTGCTTTTGTAAGATCAATCTGTAAGGTTGTCGGTAGAGGTGTGTTGGTCTGGTGGATACATCATTGGACCGTGGATCACATGAATACGGTTTGAGTCCAACCATGGCACTCATGTCCTTTGGCAAGACATTTATCTGCATTTGCCACTCTCCACCTGGGTGTTTAATGGGTACCTGGTAGGATGCGAAAATTAATGTGGTTGAATTATGATGTGTGTGCTTGTAAAATGGCGCCTCGCCGGAATACTCCCCAGGGAGCGGAGAGTGTGCACTATAATGTGCAGATTAGCAATGAATCCAATGACCTATTACAAGTAAAGCACCAACCATAAGTGCTAAACAAATAGCAATTTTATTATTGTTATTAATATTATTACTAAATACAAAGATACAATATTAAGCAGTTGAAAAGTGATTCAGAAACCAGATAGAGTATTTTATTTTTTATTCTACAATGTATAAATCATCAATATTGCATATAAATCATGGAAGATTCACATTTGAAATAGTCCCAACTACCCTTTTTATTGACATTTTCATCTGTCGTACAATGATTTTAATATTCCATTTTCATGCAAATGTTATAAATTATTTAATAAGTCTGCAAATGTCAGTTTACATGTATAAGTTTTGTGACTGAATCTCATTTAATTGTACCTTCTTGATATTGACTTGCCTTTTTCCATAGCTGGATACTGAGGTAAAGTATCTCATGATAACGTTTTTGGCACTCTTGTTTTATCAACTATCACTGTAAAGTAACAATATTGTGATATTAATGTATTACATGTATCATGTATGTCCACTCATGTAAACACCCAGTCAATTTGTAACTTTGTGTACTTTCCTAAAGCACTGCTCCTGTAACACTATACAAGAGTTAAATGATAACTGACAATGTTCCTTTCTGCTGCATCTAAGTTTCTCTCTCCCCTGTCTCTCTCTCTCTCTCTCTCTTTCTTTCTTCCTTTTTTTTTTCTCTCTCTCTCTCTCTCTCTCTCTTTCTCTCTCTTCCTTTCTTTCTCTCTCCCTCTCTCTTTCTCTCTCTTTCTCTCTCTCTCTCTTCTTTCTTTCTTTCTCTCTCTTTCTTTCTCTCTTTCCCTCTCTCTCTCTTTCTTTCTCTCTCTCTCTTTCTTTCTCTCTCTCTCTCTTTCTCTCTCAATCTACCTCCCTCTCTCTGTCCCTCTTTCTCATTTCTCTCTCTCTCTCTCTCTCTCTCTCTCTCTCTCTCTCTCTCTCTCTCTCTTTCTCCTCTTTCTGTCTTCTGTTCTATCTGATCTGTTCTGAATATTGAATACATGCACTGTGCATTGGTGGAGCTAAACCATCTAATTAAAAGATTTAGATTATGCTGTATTTTCTTTACTTGTGGGGTAATGTAAGTTCAGCACATTTCATAAAGCAATTAATGTCTGACAAACTCTTAAAGACGGCATAATTTGCTTCCTGTATCTTTTCTCCTTTTTAACTGGGACCTGTTTCACAAAGCCTTTTTCCAATGACAAATGACAAAACTCTGTGACACATCTGCTGATAACCAATCAGAAGCAACGATTTCATTAGCTTATAACAAAAATTGTCATTTGTCACTGATGACAAGTTTTTGTGAAATGGGGCCCTGATGTTTGTAGCAAATTAAAAGATGTTAATACCTTCTATATGTATCCACATGTAATATATACTGTACTATCGTTCCGGTGTTTATGTAAACTAATCTTGTGTGGTTTTCGGCACTGGTTATAAATGGTATGAGCAATGATTTCTGGTAACTTGACCAATATCAATCTAATGTGCGTCAGTTGACCTGGGAGTGTTTCACAAAGATACTAAGTCAAACTTAACTCTAAGTTGGACTTAAACATTATGGAGAGCCATTTGTAGCCTTAAAAAACATATATATACAAAAGCAAATATTCAAGTCTTTTAGACTTTTCATAAATTCCACATCATGAACATGATATTTACTTGATACTGTAATAGAAAATATGTATGATTTAAATCAACATTTTATGCCTTTTAAAATAACTTTTACAAAATATTTTCAAAATGCTAATGGCTTTTCATAATTGATAAGTACAACTTAGAGATACATGTAAGTTCAACTTAGGATCTTTGTGAAACACCCCCCAGGTTATTAAAGAACATGCTATTTTGCTTGTTTGGAGCCAGAATAACCTTAACTCATAAACTAAACTAAACAATGGTGACTTTACCCTTCTACTTCTGAACAGACAAATTTCTGTCATTCTGTGTGATCTACATTGCTACATTGGCTGCATTCCTAAACATTGTGCAAAGTACAAACACTGTAATTGATGAGATAATAAAGAGTAGCTCTATGAAACCAAGTGGCACAAATAAATCCACATCCAGAAAGCAAATGGCATAGATAGTGGGGATTTTGGTGACTCTAAATTATTAGAAAGATCCAATCTGAACTTGTTGCTGTCCTTTCACTACCGGTACATCAAAGATATTTTTTGAGAAACTCAAAGAAAGAAGCCATGGCATTCAGTATTGGTAATTCTTTGGTAATTCTTCATTTATATCAAATTTTCTTTTTACTTTCATTCATTAATATGTTACATTGCACTGTGAATTGATTTATATGTTTATAAACAGAATATTGATGTACATCAATGAAGTTTAATAAATACAATACAATACATTCATCAAATCTTTATGTTCATTCCCAAAGGACTTGAGACCCAACTCTAGAGGGCAGTATCCATCCATGCAGTCTCTGCCATCCCAGACGAGCGGAACAGAAGCATCGATGATGAACGAGCTCCCTCCTTCAATCATGGGCAAACCTCCCATACCAAGATCTCCAAGGTATGGTAGAAATTTAGTCTTTATTTTTTTAGAAATTTAGTTTTTATTTCCTACATCAAGTTCTTTGATCACAAATTGTTCATTCTATGAACTTTTCTTAGTGGAATTCTAATTTTTTACGCCTTGTAGATCTATTATTTTTAGATTGAGCAATATGTATCTCTCATGTGTAAAGACTTAAAAACCAGCCATACTTAATCCAAACCCAATGTCAGCATTCAGTTTCTTGGAAGAAATTTGTTTTTCACCTCACAGAAGATGTAATAATTAAGTTGTGGTATAATAAGCTATCTATATGTCTTTACCTGTATGTCTCTCTTTCTCTCTCTATCTCTCTTTCCCTTCCTTCTCACTCTCTCTCTCTCTTTCTCTCTCTCTCTCTCTGTCCCTCATTTTCTTTCTCCCTCTGTCTCTGTCTCTCCTTCTCTCTTCCCTCCCTCCCCTTTTCTCCCTCTGTCCCCCTCCCCTTCTCTCTCTCTCTCTCTCTCTCTGTCTCTGTCTCTGTCTCTGCCCCTCCCTCCCATCTCTATCACCCTTTCTCCCCCCCCCCCCTCTCTAATTCTCTCTATTTCTCTTTTTACCGCCTTTTAATTGTTTCATTTGAAAGAAACTCAATGTTTAATTGTTGATTTCTGTCTATATTTTCCGCAGGTTACCAATAGGAGCAAGCCACTCCACATTCAACAATCTCCAGCCTCACTCCACCGCCCCTGACCGGGGCCCCGCCCAACAGCACTACCACATGCCTCAGATGTACGCCACCGGCCCCTCCACCCAGCCCTATATGGGTCCCCCTGGTATGAGGGGACAGTACCCTCCCATACAACCACAACCCATGGCGGCTAGGACACCCTATGATATCATGCATATGGAGGTGGGTATTTTAAGAGGGGGGGGGGCAAGGGATCTGATTGTTCTGTTGTTTCGATCCCAGTTCCACCACCCAGCACTTTATAGGGAACTCTGAGATGATCTGCCTTAATATCGGAGATACACATGTGGATGTTATTTTTCAAAATTGCAAGATTTTCTCTTTAATTCCAGAAAAGTTTGCAGATGGGTCCAGTAGGATTAAAAAATCAATTTAAAAGTCTAAAAGAGTGTAAAAATGAGAAAGATTTCAAATGTAAAGATCATTTTGAAGAGCAGATCAATATGATTATTCTTTTCAGTTTCTGAAATGCTTGTTTTCCTTTTGTATTGTTGTTTTTAGGCTCCTGTAGGGCACGGTGACCCTCTTGATGAGATTCCGTTCACCCCTGTGCACGCCCCCATCATCACCACTGGTCCTGTGCAGCAAGGGTAAGTCATTTACACCAATTACTGCTTTCTTTCCTTCTTCACCACATCAAAATTATCAGTTCATACAAAGAAACTAAATCTGTTTGGGTTCTAATATTCCAGTCACACCAACTAGACCATTGATATCAAACTGACATCTCGTCAAAACAAAAAATTAAATTGCCCGAAATAGCGAGAATCATGTCAATTAGCCGTTGTCTTTTAGTCATTTTGCTGTGTGACCGTTGTATTCTAAAGATGTTGCTCTCCTTCCCTTGCCCCTAGGGGTTCTGGTCTCAGCCGAGCAGCGTACGCCAGACTCTTCCAGGCGGGGTTCCCAGAGATCACAGACAGGAGAGGGGAAGCCCCAGAGGTTGTTGATCCTAATGACCATGCCCGGCTTAATCCTCAACGGGAGATTAATGATCCACTACAGAGCAATGAGATCGTCGTCCAGTTCCTGGCTATGTCAAGGTTCACAATTCATGTTCACAATTCATTGGAGTTAACATCACATGAAAAAGAATATAATATAACAAATCATTTTCAAGTTTTTCATTGATATAGACACCAAGGAACTTTGTACATGTCTTTCTCTCTATAGAAATATCATCTAGTTTAATATTAAGAGCTACATGTAGGTTGTCATTAAATTTTCTACCTCTAAAATGAATATAATTTGTTTTAAGCACATTGAGAGAGGGCACACGTTTTAAACCATAAAGTCAACTTTGGCAGTTCCGAAAGCATATGGCTAAATGTCCTGGGACCCGTTTCACAAAGCCCTTTTTCAATGACAATTGACAAAAATCAGTGACAAATCTGCTGATAACTAATCAGAAGCAAGGACTTCACTAACTTATAATAAAATTTGTCATTTGTCACTGATGACAAGTTTTGTGAAATGGGGCCCAGATGACCTAGCTGTTATTTGTCCTGGCTACTTATGCTCCAGCTTTCTTTCATCAAAACATCGAGGTGTGGGGTTAAGAAGGGCTCCTTACTTTTTTCACAGGGGGTTTAGATTGAAATTTGTATGGCCTGTGGTCATGAACCTTGTTGTTTAACAGTTCTGAAATTTAGGGGGTTCAGAGTTACATGTAGATTTTTGTGAGGTCCATTTTCACCGGGCACCTGTGATGGTCAAGCCCTGATTAGGGTTGCAGGTGGGTTTCAGGTTAGGTTTAGATGTGGTGTGTGGTTCAGGGTTTAAGTGAGTGGTTACTGTTATTCACTTCAGAGTAATTCCCTCCAGATCATGTATCCTAAGCTTCAAAATGTCATCTTTTATGTTTAAAAAATCTTGAACTATATGGAAAAGTTTGCTTAAACAATGTCTAAATAACTTTATATCAGGCATGTAAATTGTACATATTGCCAGGTGACAGGGCTTTAATTTTGATTTTATTTATATACTAATAACTCTGTTTAATCCCTTTTTGTATTCTTTCTTTCATATTTGATACAGAATCCTTTCATTTGAAGTGAATCAGAAGCAGATGCCAAAGACTGTCTTCTTCACATTCCAATTCTACAGATACCCACCAGTGACAACAGAAAGGTACATGTAATTGCATACCTGCCAACCCTTATGAATGATCCAGAATATTCTGTTTTTCTGGAATTTTAGGACCCCAAAATCCGGAATATTCCGCTTTTTTTTTGTTGCTTATGCCAAATTAAGCTTGTTTTATGTGACAGTTCACGTATCGCGTGCTTTGAAGGGCTGCATGATTGAGCAACGAATATGTATTCGCTTTTTTTATCGCGTATTGCCAGTTACACTGCCGCTGCATGTGCCATTGCCTGTTAAGGGTACAGATTTCTTATTTTCAAAGGCATACCGTGCTAAAAATTCCTAATTCTCATTTGCAAATGTTGGCAGGTATGTAATTTGAATATCTTAGCACAACCATTTCAAGTTTTTTCTTCAATCCATTCGAGGCAACTCCTTATTTGTGGTTAGGCCTGTGAATCATGATGTATGAACAGAAGAGCATAGTTGGTGTAAAAACCTTTTCCCACTGTTCTTGCACTACCATATGTCGCTTAATGCTAGAACTTGTTCTCTTCTTCTTCTTCCTTGATGCATAGTTTACATGTAGATTATTTTTTAGCCTATAATTGTCTTTCCAGTTTGTATAGAATTAGAATTTGAGTATAAATGGGCATTGAATGTATTCAAATATGTTTATACTATTAACTTCTCAGTTTTCAGTATTCCAACCATACACATGTTTCTCTATGACACTACATAGGAGGATGATGTATTGGAAACCATTTTTTTTTTCAGGCTGTGTTTCGTTCTGCAAAAGGGTGAAAGTTGTGACCGTGGTAAAGTAGAAAGTTAATTTTTATTTCATTTTGTTCTTCTTTCTAACTTCAGGTTATTACTTGGTGAAATTGAAGGAAAGTTGTCGGCTGATCCACAAAGTCTTCCCTTCATCTTGAAGAGGCTGAAGAAAGACAGTAATGAGCCGGGTGATGGTCCTCCTGGATGGATGGTGAGATAATGATGATGACGATGATGATGATGATGATGATGATGATGATGATGATGATGATGATGATGATGATGATGATGATGATGATGATGATGATGATGATGATGATGATGATGATGATGATGATGATGATGGCGGCGACGACGACGACGACGATGATTATGATGATGATGATGATGATGATGATGATGATGATGATGATGGTGATGATGATGATGATGGTGATGGTGGTGGTGGTGGTGGTGGTGGTGGTGGTGATGATGATGATGATGATGATGATGATGATGGTGGTGATGATGATGATGATGATGATGGTGGTGGTGGTGGTGGTGGTGGTGGTGGTGGTGGTGGTGGTGGTGGTGGTTGGGGTGATAATAATGATAATGATGATGATGATGAGATTATGATAATTGTGGTGATGATATTAATAATAAATGGCTATGATGATGTTGATGATGTTGATGATGATGATAATGATGATATGATGATGATGATTAGGAGGAGATGGTGTTGGGTGTTGGAGGATGATAATAAGGATGGTATTTGATGATGTTAGTATTGATGATGAGGATGCTGACGGTCTTTCTCTATCTGCATGCAGGTACGCTACAATGTTGATCCATCTTTCCTGAAGCCTGGTGAAGCGAGACTATTCCTGCACTACCTTGAGAAGCAGACATTCCACATAGATGTCTGGGATGGTGATTCTCTGCTCCTCCTTGGATCTTTGGCTGTTGATCTTAAGGTAAACATGAACCCAGGCCATTGACCCGTATTCAACGCAATACATGTACTTAAGGGAGAGTGTCGTCAGTTTCCACGTGCAAAAGGAATTTGGTGACACCAGACGTGGTGTAAATAGATATTCAAAGTTAATTTGACCGTTATATCTGTTGATTTAAAAAGAAGCTCCTCTGTAGCAGTTTGAAAATAGCGCTAGATTTTCATTTTTCACACAGAAGTTTCAGAACCTATGACTGTTAAATTTCACACTCAAAATCTGAAGGATATATTAAAATACTCCCTGGAGTTTGCACAACTCTGCAAAAGGGGGACTTATAAGAATTTGAAAGTAATTTTTAAAGAATGTGTTGTAATTATATTGTGAATCCTTTCAGCATCTTCTTCGAGGAGGTAGAGAGGCAGTTCAAGTGACCAATGAAGTGGACATCTTGACCACAGAGCATAGTGACGAGGATTACGTACTCACTGGTGATATTGTAAGTTCAGCTCCTTCTGCATTGATGATTTAAAGATAAAGTTGAGTTCTGGTCATGTGATTGCTTTGTGAAAGAAACGTGGAATCGATCAAAAAAGGTTGATCATCTAGCATATAAGTATTGGTGTGTACTGCAAGGTCTCTGGAATCATCAAAATGATAAGAAATTTGGCCCAGTCTTGGCAAAGTTACAAGCACTGTATAGAGTAAGATGTATATGGGACCATGCGATATCTATCCAGGCCAGATAGTTATGTTAGTTTACCAAATATATCAATTAGTAGGCGGTTTCCTGGCAAAATTTGTATCATCACATATTTTCTTTCACATGATTGGTAATAAGAGCTTTCATTTCATTTTTTGAGAGGGGGGCGTTTTACAATAATTTTCTGTGCTCTCTTTCACCGTACCATTCACAGCATAGAGGTGGAAGCATCCGACCCGTAGGATCAAGGAACGTCACAAGAGGGCGCCTTCACTTACGACTGGCAAACGTAGGTCAAGAGGTCGATGCTAAGGTCATCAAGGCAACGACCCTGCCTCTCCAGGATACCAAGGTCATAGTTCAGGAGGATGGTAGCGGGGCGTTCCTAGGGGGCAGTCTTCATGCAGGCACCAAACAGACAAGTGAGTGAACAACACTGGACAGATAAGATTTTCTATTTTAACAATATATTTTTTTAGCTCCGATATTTTTTCAGGTGACAATTTCCCAGGGCTTTATTTCCTCAAAGATAGAGGGATAGAGGTAGAGTAACCATTATGTATGCAAAAATAGCTCGTGATCGCGTTATCTCAAGAACCGATTGATGGATTCCTACCAGACTTGGGTCATGTATGTATCTTGCAGAGCCAATGAACTGATTAGATTTTGGGGTCAGAAGGTCGAAGGTCAAAGGTCACAGGGCTCATGTATCCACAAATAGCTTGCGATCGCATTATCATGAGAACCAATAGACAGAATACTATCGAACTCAAGACATGTATATGTATCTCGCAGAGGCAATCAACTGATTAGGTTTTAGGGTCATCAGGTCAAAGGTCATGGGGCTCATTAAGTATGCCTATAAATAGCTTGTGCATGCATTATCATTAAAACCGACAGATGGATTACAATCAAACTTGAATTTTAAAAATTGTTTCTGTTTTGGTTTGTAAAATTGCTCTATGGCGGAGGCATCATATTCAACTGCGTGCAGTCGAAGTTCCATCTAGTTTCTCAAGAAATGAAGGAGATCATGATATGTGGAAGTTTAGTTCTTGTGGGACATTGACTGCTGAGAAATTGTCACTGGAGCATGCATTCATTTTACTTTAATATAAACACCAAATACATCTGTATTTGCATGAATTGATCTAATGGAAAGAAGTTATAGACTGCAATCAGATTTAAGATGAAATTTAGACATTGGGAATAAAAATCTAGATGTGAAGGAAAATTGCAGAGCATTGCTGGCCAAACAGCTGAGCAGGCTTCAAACATGAACAGCCTTATACATGTAAATATGCAGAGAACTTTGAATATAACTATTTCATAAAACGCCTGAATGTATGGAACCAAATCTTTTCAATGATGACTTTCATTTTACTTATAAACACCAGGGGGGTGTTTCACAAAGATTCTAAGTCGAACTTAACTCTAAGTTGGACTTAAATATTATGGAGAGCCATTTGTAGCCTTATAAGATATTCAAAATCAAAATTCAAGTATTTCAGACTTTACATAAATTCCACATCAAGAACATGAAATCTCCCATGATAATAGAAAATATGAATGATTTGAATCAACATTTTATGCCTTTTAAATAACTTTTACAAAACATTTTCAAGGATACTAATGGCTTTCCATAATTGTTAAGTCTAACTTAGAGATAAGTTCAACTTAGTATCTTTGTGAACACCCCCCAAATCATATATGCCCTCATTGAACAGATGCGAGCTTGGCCAGCCTGAAGCAGAAGCGTAGCTACCTAGCCTCCCACATGGCAGAGGCAGACCAGGAGCTAGCTACAGCTCTCTTCTCTCGTCGTGATAAGACCACCGTGGCTCTCAAGGAATCGAATCGGGAAGGAGACCATGTAAAGCAACGCAAGCTGGCCCGTATGGAAGCACTACGACAGGCCCAGGGGAGAGAGAATAATGGACTAACTAATAGCTTACTGGTAGGCATTTCAAAGTTAGTGATAATAATAATAATAACGTTTTATTTACCCAGGGTAGCCACTCAGTTATGAAACTGCTCTTCCATCAGGCCCTGCATAACATAATGTTATTACTACCTTTCTCCAATCTAATATGCTGAGCGCCTAGCTAGAAGGCAGAAGGTCCCATTGTTATAATTCTTGGTATGACTCGGCCGGGGTTCGAACCCACGACCTCCCGTTCATGAGGCGGGCGCTCTAACCACTGAGCCACCATAACCGGTAACGTGTAAATGCTCTAATTGGTGGCCACGTAAGGGTCATTTTGTTGCAGTCATTGTTTGGTGGTGGTGGGGACTTAGCTTTCTTGGAAATTAAAGCAACTATTACTTGGCAATTGAAACTCACTCTTTTGGGTCATGCTTTTAATTGCAAGTTTTTCTTCTAAGCCCATTTTTTTTTTTTTTTGTGTGTGGGGGGGGGGGGCAAGGATACAACCTTTCTTGGGAATGAAAATATGCATCACTCATCTTACCAATGAGAGAAATTTTAGGAGGTCTTTATAAAACCAACCTAATTCTATAAAAAATGACAAAATTTGTGTTATGAATCCTTGAGAAAAATAACACATTTATTTGTAATGCAATTCTTTCTGTCTGCCTCTCTCTCTCTCTCTCTCTCTCTCTGTATATATATGTATATATATTTATATATCTCTCTATCTATCCATCCATCTTCTGATCTCTCTTTGTTCTTGCAGATGAAGAAAGAGGAGAAGACACAGAGAATAAGAGACTTGAAGACGATAGAGTTATACAGGTTTGAAAAATGTTCATAGAGGTTCAAACGCAAATGCAAAGGTCGTGGGTTCAATCCCTGACACTGCACCAATGTCCTTTGACAAGGCATTAATCTACATTGTATGCTTCTTTTCAATATCTTCCAAGAGAAGATGCAAAAAAAGTGCAATATCTAAGTTATTAACCAGTATACATCTTAAAATTTACTTCCAATCCAATCCAATCCAAAATATATTTGATATAGCGCCTTTTCCTTGCAGTTACAAAGCGCTGCACACACTCTCCACAATGTTTGGGCCACTTAAAAACAAAAGTTAGACACTTCTCAAAGATCAGCCAAGTATAGAGTATATGTAGGCTGGTAATAAAGTAATTTCTAGCAGAATAGATGTGACTTGAGTAGTTTCTTGAAGTGATCAACAGATGAGGCCGTCTGCACAGCAGTAGGTAGCTGGTTCCACAGTTTTGCAGCAACCGATGGGAAAACTTCCAACTTGATGTTATCAATTTGCTTTATTTATCCTTTCTTTTTTTTTATCTTCAGGGAAAGATCGAAGAAAGATGGCATAATGAGCATGCTACAGTCTGTGATCACGACAGAACACACCATCAATCCAGCGTTTGGAAGGGCAGAGTTCTTTGAGTTTGTACTGAAGAACCCCTACAATGCTTCTCATACCATCTCTATACAATGGGAGCATGATAATCTCAGGTGAGTTTTAATAGGGGCATTGAGGGGGTTTGATGGGGGGGGGGGGGGGGGGTTCATACGATTAATTATCTTCATGAAACATCTCCATAATATCATGGTGATCAAGAATGCTTTATTATTCTCATTTTTTAAAGTATCAAGTATCAAGTTTATTTGTATTCCAGAAATCACATGTAACAAAATATAATAGATTATAATCATAACAGTACAATATAGAATAAAAAAGATGAGGAGACCAAGAAGAGCAGTATCGAGTGATCTTATGAAATTTTAGGCTTTTATCAAGTAAGTTTGTTGTGCCAAGGTCCCTTGGGCACAGCATCAAACAATTTCAATGGTTAAGTCTGTCTATGAGGACTGTAGATCTGCATGTCCCAAGCAGCATGTATGTTCACTTAAAATGTCTTTATTCCTTTTCAACACAGGTTTTAATTAAAGCCACACTGTCCTACTTGTAGCTACTTGCTCCCTCTATATAGAAAACAATGTCTAATCGGTGGCCATTGGTCCCCCATGTTCCTCTTTTTCTTATGTTAATTAAGAGCTGAGTTGATGAGATAACCACATATCCAGTGACCTTGCAGGGTGGTCTAATCCCTCCTATAATCTAGTACAGTTAAGCTTTAAAGTATCCAACTTTCATTTTATTTTATTGTCATTCCATGCCTCAGCGTGATCACAAACCCAAGGAATGGCGACACTTCAAGACGTTCTTTGAGATGTACAACACACCGGTAGAAGAGGGTCTATTTGATGTGAACCAGGGAGGGTCTTCTACCGGTAAGGGGGACGTACCGGGTATCAAGGTGTTCCTCAGACCCAAGGAAGAGGTCAATGTACCCTTCAAGTTCCAGAGTTTCACTGCTGATGACTCCATCACTGCAAATGTGAGTTTGGTAGAGATAATGATATTTCTTTGAAAGTATCGAATAAAGTTCAAATTCAAGTTTAAAAGTAGGAATATGATAATTAGAAAATGAATGGTACTACAAAAGTAAGTTGACCTTCAGTATGTCTTTATTTGTTGCCGTTCTTAAAAATGATAATTATTTGTTTGATGGTAAGTAGGAGAAGAATGATGATGAGGGTGATGATGATGATGATGGTGATGATGATGATGATGATGGTGATGATGATGATGATGATGATGATGATGATGATGATGATGATGATGGAGATGATGGTGTGATGATGATGGTGATGATGATGATGGTGATGATGATGGTGATGATGATGGTGATGATGATGATGATGGTGATGATGATGGTGATGATGATGATGATGGTGATGATGGTGATGATAATGATGATGATGGTGATGATGATGATGGTGATGATGATGGTGATGATGATGGTGAGATGGTGGTGATGATGGTGGTGGTGATGATGGTGGTGATGGTGATGATGGGGGTGGTGGTGGTGGTGATGATGGTGGTGATGATTGTGGTGGTGATGATGGTGGTGATGATTGTGGTGATGATGGTGGTGATGATGGTGGTGATGATGGTGGTGGTGATGATGGTGGTGATGGTGATGGTAGTGGTGGTGGTGGTGATGATGGTGGTGATGATTGTGGTGGTGATGATGGTGGTGATGATTGTGGTGATGATGGTGGTGATGGTGATGGTGGTGGTGGTGGTGGTGGTGGTGGTGGTGGTGGTGGTGGTGGTGATGATGGTGGTGATGATAATGGTAATGATGGGGGTGATGGTCATGTTGATATTGGAATTTTTGGTGATGATGATGATGATGAGGGTGATAAGTATGGTAATGATAACGATAAAGGTAATTGTGGGGGTGATGGTGATGATTATGAAATACATTTTCATGGTAGTTGAGTCAGTGATAAAGATAAAGCGTACACATTTCTTGATGTATACACTTGTGTAATTTTATGAAATAAATGAATTGTAGACGGAACTGACTATTTATATTGAACATGTCACATCATATTATGAAAATTCAACTTCTGTTCCTTTCAGACTCCATACGTTGGACCAAAATCTCAATTCCAGCTACGAGGGAAGGATAACAAGATAGACTCAGCGCTGGAATCACAGCTCATAAAAGTGAGTGATAACCAATCAATGACTAGGTCTTCAGGGCCCCATTTCACAAAACTTGTCATCAGTGACAAATGACAGTTTTTGTTAAAAGATAGTGAAATTCTTGCGTATGATTGGTGATCAACAACAGGTTTCTCACTGATTTTCGTCATTTGTCATTGAAAAAAAAGGTTTGTGAAACAGGTCCCTCATCTTTCGTACATGTACTGTAGCTCTTAAACTCGGTTATCTTTATTTTCTACAAAACTTGTGTCTAGCAAATTTCATTTATTTTGTATTTTCAACTTTTTCTTGTAATTTCAAACAAATTCAAGATTACCTTTAGGTACACCCTACATGTAATTTTCCTTCTTAATCTTTTTTTATTTCTTTTTTAGATTCTGCCCAGATTGTATTATTACTTCATGTATTTGCGCTACCTTCCAAAAAATGGGTACTTGATGAATTCAATTCATCATTTTCATTATAAATAAACCAAGCGTGATCATTGATAATGAAATAATATGATCTGTTTCAGGTTTACTTCAAGACTCAAGATAACAAGTCGATAGCCGTGCTATCCCTCAACGTAGACCCCCAGCCCCACGTCATCGATCAAACCTTCAGGCTCCAACAGCCAGAACATTCCTTCCTTAGAAAGTCCATTCGTCTTCCATCGTTCCATCCTACCTCAGGTAACTAGGGCTAGTACAGTCAAACCTGCTTTAGTGACCACCTGTCTACAGAGACCGCATTTTTTGTTTCCCTTGAAAATGGTTTCTCATTGAAACATGTACTAAAGGAACCTGTCTACAAAGACCACATTTTTGTTTCCCTTGAAAATGGTTTTCTAATTGAACATGTACTAAAGGCCACCTGTCTACAAAGACTACTTTTTGTGTTTCCCTTGGTTGGTCGCTATAGACAGGTTTGCCTGTACATCGAATGAACGTCACACGTGAGACGCTAGAAAAGGGAAAATAATCATTCAAATTCTTAAAGATAAAGTTGAATTTTGATCATGCTGTTATGGTATGAAAGAATTTTTCTAGAAGCAATTGGGAAAAGTTGCTTACACTTTATAATAAATTACAGTTACTTGAGTGAATTAAGTGATCTTGTGTTAAGTGATCTTGTGGAATTATGAAAATGATTTTTTAAAAAAAATTTAAATGCTCTGCACACAGAATTTGGGTATATGGGACTACACACTCGAGTGGCATGAATCTTTGGTCCAAATTTTCAGTTATTGTTCATATTTCTAAGATAAGGTCATTTGAATAACAATCTTTTTACAGGACATTCTTTTACATTCTTCTAAACTAACACAAAATGAATAAGAATTCCCACAAGTTATTTTTACCATTACCAGAACTCCAGCTTCTCTTTGAATTGGCAACATATTTAGAGCTTCAAAATTCTTGCTTTTCCTTGGAAATTTTATTGATATTTAAACAAATCGTTTTGTCTATGTACATTATTTTTAGCGATAACACAACTAATGTCCGTGAATTAATTAAAAACATTATAGCTACAAAAACAAATTTAGTTTTAAAAAGTTGGAGAAAAAAGCTGATCAGTACAGAATTGGAACTTGGAAGTATTTCTTCAACTCTTCTATTGTCTCACTGTTGATAGTTTATAATTTTCTGTTTGTCATCTCTTAGGTGCTTCAAGTGTAACTAGTATCTACGTGAGGTGCAGTGATTCAAATGTCATATGTGACACTAAAAAAACGGTAAGTCTAGTTTTTTTATTTGCAATTTCATATCTAATGTAATTGCTGTTTCTTTGAAAATCGGATCGCAGAAGTGGGCGTTGAGCTTTAAAATTACTGGCGAGTTTGGATGAGGAAAATACATGTAGCAGAACACCATGATGGTCCTATGTAAACAAACTTACTTATCTGTATGTTATACGATACAAACATTGGAAATGCAGCATGCTTAATAAGTATGTATGCTTAAAAGGCTCAGCGTGAATATGCCATAATTCTAGATGTAGAGGTGTCATGGTCTAATGAAGTTTCCCCAATTCATTTATATTGCTGATTAACTTTGTATAATTCCGGTATACTTGTAGACATGTTTCCATTTTGTGTGTGTTCTGTGTTTTCTATAATCTGTATCTTATACATGTATGTTTTTTATGGATTTGAATTGAAATAATACTTGAAACTTGAAACTTGAATATGTCACCGGACTTTGAAACATGTGGTTCACTGTTTGAGTCCCACTGGGGCACTAACGTCCTTTGGCAAGACTAAGATTGACTTTAAGTTGGACTTAAATATGACAGGCTATTCATGTCACCGGTTGCTCTCACCATTGGTCTCTCAATTATGATCTTTAGATAATATTTTTTCCTTCAATAATGAACTACCAAAAAAGCTAAATTCTGTAGATATATGACCATGATTTGTACGTCCCTGGAGAGACCAATGCCAGTAAATGGTGAGAGCAAACAGTGGCATGAACAACCTGCTATAGTTAAGTCAATCTTAGTCTTTGTGAAACACCCTCCAGGTAGGATTTTTTGCACTTGAATGCCTGTATTTCCTTAAGGCAGCTGGGCTAAACCAGGTTAAAACTACTTTTTAGACGCCTTGAGCATCCCATGGGATTGATACAATTTATATATAATTTCTGTAGCTAATTTTGTTAATACTATTTTTCATATTCAATTGTATTTGACTTTGGAAGGAAAGAACAGTTTTTTGAAGTATAAATCTAGTTGTTTTTATCTTTGTTTGTGCCTGTATAGCCGCCAGGAGAACCTCATGAGATCTTTCTCAAAGCAGCGTGTGGTGCGTCGCCCTCTATCAGAAAGTTCTATCTTCTCATCTACTCGTGAGTTCAATCTTCTAATCTGTTTTCTTGATGTATGCAATGATTATGTTGCCTTGGTATTAAAGCCTTACACATACTGATTAGACATAATGTTTCATAATTGTCTGTTCATGTATTTCATGATTAATAAGAGGAAATCATAAATGTAAAATCAAAACAAAATTCTATTCTATTCTATGTTATCACTTTGTATAGTGTAATGGTAAATTCATTACTTTAGTGTTGCTTTTCGGTTTCTGAACTTACTTGTACCAACATACTTTGTTTAGCTCTAAGGGTTTGGCTCGACTAGCACATGTGGTATTATCTGGCCCCCTTTACCAACCAATAGTTTCTCTTCTTTTATATGTAAATATCATTGTATGATATATATTAATGTATTGCTGTCGGTAAATAAATCAAAACAAATTAAGTCAAAGTGTACCATACTTTCGTCAATGTCCTTGTAGGAGCCAGTACTTGTCCAGACCGCTACAGACATGGGAATTCTTCATCCACACTCTACAGAGAGTAGATGTTACGTGTGTAGAGGGTCAGACAGCACACATCACACTGGTCCTAAAGGGTGCTAGCTCCACCAGACAGGTGCAATGCTTCACCTCTCATCCTGATGAGATTAAGGTATGTAACGAGAGAGAAAGAGAGAGAGAGAGAGAGAGGAAGGGGAAAGGGGGGGGGGGGGAGTGGCAGAGGGTCAGACAGCACACATCACACTGGTCCTAAAGGGTGCTAGCTCCACCAGACAGGTGCAGTGCTTCACCTTTCATCCTGATGAGATTAAGGTATGTAAGGAGAGAGAGATAGAGAAAAAAAGAGAGAGAGAGAGGGGGGGTAGGGTGAGAAAGAAAGAGAGAGAGAGGGGGGTGGGGTGAGAAAGAAATAGAGAGAGAGAGAGAGAGAAAGAAAGAGAGGGAGAGAGTAACAGAGGAGACAGACCAAAAGGTGAAGGTTTACAACTGCAAGGAAGAAATAGCCAAGCAAAAAGATCTAATTTAGGAGAAGAGACACATGGGGGACGGATGCAACAATAACAAAACCTCAAGAACTGGATGAAGATACTATATATTAGAGACAGAAAAACTAAAGATTGGCGATTAACTATCCTTGTAGGTTTCTAAATTGAAATGTTTAATGTAATTTGTTTCCTAGGTTGCTCCTGGTGATCCCTTCATGCTGCTAGCCAACTCAGTCCATGAACTCAATCTTGGAGTGCGCCCCCGTGTGAAGGGAAACAAGTTCATGTTCATCAATGTTGTCGGTATCCTTTACTATTATGTGTCAAGTTGTATTTTTTTTTAAAGAATGTTTTTACCTTGTTTTACCTTGATATTGGGCTTCAAGTATAATTACTTAAATGCCCTCTGCAGCAGTATTATTGTCTGTGTGTACTGGGGATTGCGCCTGTGTCGGAGCATCGCACAATGCGATAGCACAGAAACATTTCCTCAGGGTTGAACATGTCATATTTAGCTCTCCATGCTTGAATTCAGTTTCATTGAAATGTCTTCAATTTAGGTTTCAACTATGGTGTATTGGAGTTCTTATCATTACGAAGTTCTTTTTAACCATGGTGGGTATTTAAATGTTTAAGAGCATACATTGATAAACACTAAGTTTTGAAGTTCAACTGACAGAGCTGACTATTCTTCACGTTCTCGTTCATATCTTTAAAATTTTGTACTCATTAATCTTCATGTCAAATGTCACTAGTGTAATGTCATACCTTACTAACGATGGCTTGGTTTTGATGCCTTTATATTTCCTTGACACACCCGTCCTGTGTCCAGACATAGAGTACCATGTGTTGGTTAGATCTTGGTTGGTATCAGTGATATGCAGAGCACCTTACATCACCAAGTCATTTGAGCTCCAGCTACCGGTGGGAGGAGGCAAGGGATCAAATAAGGTAAGATGGTTGAGATGGTGGTGGTGGTGGTGGTGGTGGTGGTGGGGGGGGGGGTGGTGGTGGTGGTGGTGGTGGGGGGGGTGGTGGTGGTGGTGGTGGTGGTGGTGGTGGTGGTGGTGGTGGTGGTGGTGGTGGTGGTGGTGGTGGTGGTAGGGGTGGTGGGGGGTGGTGTGGTGGAGGTGATGGTGATGATGATGATGACGATGGTGATGATGATGATGATGGTGATGATGATGATGATGATGATGATGATGATGGTGATGATTATAGGAGAATCACTATTCGGGTAATGTTAGTGATGATGATGATGATGGTGGTGGCGGTGATGAGGAGGAGGAGGGAGAAGAGGATGAGAAGAAGGAGGATAACAAGTATTTGATGATGATGATCATCATCATCATTGTTATGATGATCATGGTTACAGTAATTGATGATGATATTGGTAGAGGTAGCAGTGAGGATGGTAGTTATAGCAAAGTCCATTATAAACTTCTGATAAAACCAAAGCGGACCACGCCCTAATTCTGAACAAATGAACGCCCATCTCACTCCTATGATAGAATGAGTAACTGAGATGATAACGCATTACTTCTTCCATCACTTTCCTTCCTATGTCACAGCGTATCAGCTACACCACCGCTATCCTCAAAGGAAAGTCTTCTTCGTCAGATGTAATAGAGATGACTTGTTACAATTCAAGGAAACCAGAATAGAGGTAAATAACTCCTTTAGTTTACTATGTCAGGATTAAGAGTGCAAAATCTATTGAAAATCTATTTTAAAAAATCAAAATCAAAATCAAAACAAATAATAATAAAAGTAATGATACACATGTACATGAAGATCAGAGGTAAAAACAAATCAGCATTTTTTTAGTTTTTGTTTAAGATGAGAAGCTTGGGTTGCATCCCTAAAAGAATAGATCAATGGGGGGGGGGGGGGGGGGGGGGTTCTTTCTTTTTTTCCTTCATATTCAAATATACACGTAATATATGTATTACATTTATATGTTACAGTACTAATTAGGAGTAGAAGTAGCAAGTAATGGGAGTGTTCGAAGTAGGTACTTATACAGGTATAGAGGAATATTAGCTGTAGTTATAGTAGCTTTTAAGTAGTTTTATAGGAGTGGCAGAGGGAGTAAAAGTAGTAAACACATGGAAATCCATATTTGCTAGATGACCTCTGAAGATCTGCATGCATATTTACATTATGTGTTACCTATATCTAGTTTCAACTACCCAAATACAGTTGAACCTGTCTATAGCGACCGCCTAAGGGAAAAAGTGGTCTTTGAAGACAGGTCTCATTAGTACATGTTTCAAGGGAAACAAAAATTGTGGTCTTTGTAATCAGGTGGTCTGTATAGACAGGTGGTCACTAAAGCAGGTTAGACTGTATAGTGCAATGTCGGAAGGTCATACAAATCCCACAGATTCCCTACAATCATACTTATTAACCATGCATCTGTTTAATCTTTAGATCGGTGGAGGAGAAGCCTATCCGCTTGGACTACGCTTTGCACCTTGCCACCAACCTGGCACCGCTGAGATCCTCATCTTCATCAACAATGAAGATGATAAGAATGAAGAGACATTCCAAGTTACTGCCATCTACTCATGACCCCTGCTAACCTCTGACCTTAGCAACCGATAATGCAACAAGAAGAGAGTGTCTGCCATATGTTCATGACCGGTAGTAGCAGTGAGGATGATAACATTGAAGGGACATTACAAGTGACTACCAAGTACTCGTGACCTTGGTCCGACCTATTACCATAGCAACCAGTAATAGCAACGAGGATAGCAAAAACTAAGAGTGGTTCGATTCAACTGCCACATTGATCTCTTACCTTAGCAACTAGTAATCCCAACGAGGATACTCAGAATGAAGAGTTGCGCTGAGACCCCTGTTGACCTGTTTCCATAGCAAGCATATAATAGCATGTTCATCAACAATTAGGATTTGATAAGAATGGAGTGACTCACTGCCATCTGCTCGTGACCTCTGATTTGTTACCGCACAAAGAGCACCATCTGACCCCGAGCAGCAGCGAACCGATTTTAATTGTCCCATTTGGGACTCTCCTTACAGGGACTGTTGGTGTGACCCGCCCTCAACTATTATTTGTTGATACCTAAAGTGGTTATTGTTCTCAATTGCACAATACATAGGTAAAAGAAAAAGAAATGGTAGCATCTTCTATTATTATGCAAATTGCAAGACAAAAGAGACACTTTCAGTGACTACCATCTACCGGCAGCCCCTGTTGACCTGTACCCATGGCAACCAGTGTAGCAATCCTCTCATCATCTTGTTCTATTTTGCTTCTGATCTCAATGTTTGAAGTGATTGTTTAATGACAGAACTGCAGTCTGGTGGGTTTAAACTAAGCTCTTTCAAAGAGGTATTCATCCATAGAAATTATTTGGTAAACCAAGAAGAATTGTTGAAATGAGTCACAGACTTCTGCATCTCCTGTGTACACTCAACATCGATGCAGAATTTCATGTACTTTAAAGGGAAGGCCAGGGATGGGTTTAATACATTTTGGCTGGTGTGTGATGTTATAGACTCATCTCAAAGTCATGTCATTTTAAATGAATTGTTGTTTGAATAAATGTCAGTAATGTGTTTCAGAAAGATTATACATTCGTCAAATTCGCAAAGTGCAAATTCAGTTATATACAGTTAACAACTAATGTATTCATATCCCTTGTAAATTTGATGTTTTTTGTAACTAGGGCCATTGTGAAATACTTTTAGATTTAAGCTTTGATATGTCACATTCTCAAGAAACATACGTTGATACAAATCAATTTTTCACATTCTTATCTAATTCAAAATTTGGTAAGGGTATGAATAATTTAGTTGTTAACTCTACAGTATATTCTTTACGGTAAGTAAGTACGGTTATTAAATAAAAATTATACAATACAATTGTAGTATAAATAAGCACGTCTCAATGATTCTCAATTCATAATGTGAGGAACCTATTAAAAAGCAGTGCTTGTATATTATAGGTTCCTGTAAAAAAAAAAAAAGTCTAAATAGCATAGCTGCCAACCATTCCTATTTGGGAAAAATGATTCCTATTTTTGAGCACTTCCTTTAATGTTATGATTCTCTCTTTGTCAGAACACATCTTTATAACAAGCACAGTGGAACCTTGTTATAACGAGGTTCTTGGGAGCATAGAAATCACCTTGTATATCAGGAATCTTGTTATATCAGGGTAAAAGACCTAAAATATACAAACAGCTGAGACCGGTAAAAATCACCTTGTAATAAATAACAGATACCTTGTGATAGCAGAGCTCTTAGTAATGAGGTTCCTATGTGAAGCAAGTTTGTGACTACTCTTAAAGAGAAGGTTGAGTTATGGGGAGAGGTGAACAATTATTTGTGAGCGTTTCCATTGTTATTATGCAAGTGTGGAAGAACATTAGAGAAAAATGTTCCATGAAAAGCATGGCTCTTCAAATGCCTTCATATTATAAATATTATAAATATGCCTAGTAGCTGCTTAAAATTGAGGCACGATTTGTATGCCACATGTTTGTGTAGTCCCATATACATCTTTGTGTGTTAAGGCTTGTTACTTCGCCAAGACTGGGCCAAATTTTTATCATTTTGATGATTCCGTAACCTTGCAGTACACAGCAATACTTAATATGCTACATGATCAACTTTTTCTGATCGATTCCACACCATTACTTTCACAATACAATCACATGACCAGTACTCAACTTTATCTTTAACTCTAAAATGACTACCGTATGTAAACTAGCTGGTATTGATTTGACATAAAAATGTTAAAAACCGAAAGACTGTAGACTGTAGTCTGATGTTGCAGTCTTGATCATTACAAAATGTTGAAGTATGCTCAAAGATCAGTCCATCCATGGTCGAGATCTGAAGGGGGGGGGGGGGATAGCCATCATATCAGCCACCCACCCCCCCCCCCCCTTCCTGTCTTTTTAGGTTTATCTAATACAGTATTATATAAATTGCTAACTTACTCATGTATTTGTGTGAATCCAGAAGGATACCGACTTCAGACATGGGTTTTTACCCGATGGATTATAAAAATCACCTTGATTTTACAGTTCACTGCTGGTCTCTATGTATATCATTTATTTTATATAGTATAACATATTGTTGAATGCTCATGTTTCATCGTCTAACTTAAACATCACCTTGATTTGTGTTTCTCAATGAAGAAAAAAAACCTTGATTGTTTTCCCCTCCACCCCCCCCCCCCCCCCCTCCTCCACAATTGATCAATGTGTGGAAATGGAATTGCAGTACATGTAGTATGGCATTTAAATTGGATGATTGCAATTGAATTTAACCCTCTCTTAATGAATTCATGTTGAATTACATGTACATGAACTACAACAATACATTGATAACAATCTCCAGCATTCCAAAATGGTATTGACACAGAACAAAATATTATGCTTTGTCATAGTAACTACTGTTGTGCACAAATGAAGAGCTGTAATGTTTCATTGTGTGATACTTGTATGATTTGTAGATAAGAATGAATGTGTTTTTCAATGCGGAAGTCACATTGTGTGAATGTGAGATTAAATAAAAGAGAAAAACATAGATCTTGTTCACCAGACTGTGATGTTAAAGGGAGTGTATGATTGTTGCACAAATTTCAAACATCATATAGAGGGTATCATGGTCTAGTTGAGGCGTGGCTGGACTGTGGATCAAGTGGTTCACAGCTCAGCATTAATCTACATTTGCCGCTCTCCACCCAGGTGTAGACTGTAGTGAATGGGTATGTAGCAAGAAGTGATTTCATGACTGCTTTCAGTGCTTCAGGGCAGCTTGAATAACATTCTGCATTATAATTAATAGTCCCAAGACCAATTTGAGGGAAAATCATTTATAAGATTGATATTGTTATAGATCCCTAGTGTTGAGTTTTGCACTACTACATAACCAAATTATTTCGCAACCCACCTGAAATTCATTTTAGAATCTTATGCTTGATTATCACACCAAAAATCATTTTCCAGTTTCTCTGATTATTTTGAGGGGGTACTTACTATTGATTAAATGGAATTTTCTCCTATGATATACCAATGTATTTATACAATATTTTTGGCCTCCACAATGGACACAGCAACTTTAATAATACAGAGAAGTATTGTTAAGCTTGTCTGGAGTACATGAAAGAGATGTTTACTCAAGGCACCACATGAATAGTGTTTTGACTGAAAATACGAGTTCAGGGATAAAGAGGACCCAGAATGATTTTCTTCAAAAATTGTAAATGGCATGATGCGTAGGATGGCATGGTTTCATCATACCGTTCCATCGCTTCACTTAATCTTTTGTGTGTGTGCATTATTCAGTACTTTATTCAGTACTTTCTTTCACTTCCTTGTTATCAGTCCTTTTTTCAGTACTTTATTTCTTTACATTTTGATATTTTCTTTCTTCTCACCCCCCCCCCTTCCACCACGACTATCTCTTGGTCTCTCTTTCTCTTTCTATATTAAATATCCCTATCTCTTCATTTTCCTCTCAGTCTCTCTCTCTCTCTCTCTTTCTCAGTCTATCTATCTTTCTATCTCTCTCTCTCTATTTATCCTATGTAAATCTTTTCCAAAGGTATGTCTCATTCTAAATAACCCCCCCCCCCCCTCTCTCTCTCTCTCTATCTCTCTCTCTTACTCTTCTCTCTCTTTCTCTCTCAGTCTGTCCCTCCTATCTCTATCTCTCACGCACATACACTGTCCCAATCTTTAAAAAAATATACATAACTACCTACGTATCTATAGCAACTTGACATCATGGACAAGTTGAAATGATCCATTAAATACAACCCGGATATATTTACAGTTATCCACCGTGAAAACCGCACCATATTTTAGAGCCAAATTGAGTAAAGTTACTGATTGACAAATTTTTATTACCTGACACGTTTCGTAAAAACTGCTGAGCCAAAAAGTATTTAATTATAATGTTATGTGTCTTAGGCATAAATACCCTGGTGGGAACAAAAAAACAGTCCTATAACGATTGTTTCCCTCTTTCCTTATCGCTATCTATTTATTTATATTTTATAACACAATTGCCGACATTTTTGTCCAGCTTTAACAAGGAAGCAATATGCGTTCCTATGTTATAGCTTTTCCATTTTTTAAAGTTCATGTAGTACTTTATTAGCAAGGATAAAAGGACTAGAGAGGGGAATTTGTAAATGTATCGGATCCCTGTCCCTTCTCTTCCCCCCCCCCCCCTCTCTCTCTCTCTCTCTCTCTCTCTCTCTCTCTCTCTTCTACTCTTTTCAGCCAAACTAATTCCAAGTATAGATAATTATTTAATGGTATATTTATTCAAAAATCTGCCTCACAGCCTATATACGCTTAGTAGTTGTATAAACAATTTTAAACAAACAAAAACTAAAATGCATAGGACAGTTACATAATACTTTACCAACAACATAATCAGAACTAAAATGATGGTAGGCCCTACGCGATTCGGCATGGTAAATGTGAATCATAACTAACATATAGTTAATATAGGCTAATCCAATTGGCTAATTTTCCGTCCGAATAAAAAGAAAGAAGCAAAAGCAAAGGTCCCTACCCCCTCTCCCCCCCCCATCTTCCTCTAGTTTTCTCCCTAGAATTCATTGAGAAGAGAAGGAAAAAGGTATACGGATCAAAATAGAAGTGAAAAAACGAAAAGGGAAGACTCTTCAATAGAAGGGCCGAGAGACTGAATGTAGACCGAGGGCTTTAGTAGATTATGTCAATGTTTTCTTTTATTGTATTTTTTGTATTTTTTGTATTAGTATTTATTTGGGGTGTGTGTGTGTGTGTGTGTGTGTGTGTGTTTGTGCTCTGGCCCGTCGCAATGATTTTTTTTGTATTGACCATGTTTACAAGCACATACAAAAAGCAAAGATCGTTTGGTGTAAGTCTCGATTTCGCACTCTGCAGAAGAAAAAAGAAATCCTTTTCAGATGTTTATTATCTTGCCCTTCGGATTTCAGAACTATATATTATGACACCATCATTCAATGCCTCGACTTCCATTCTTCCATTATTACCTCCAGACCTACTTGTCAAAGCTAAAGCACAGCCAAGCGGCCCGAGGGTGAAACTGAATACAATACTCTGCTTATTACACAGACCACCACGCGCATAATCATATTAATAAACGAAATCCACTGTGTGAGTGCTAGAGAGAGAAAGAGAGAGAAAGATAGAGACACAGAGAGAGAGAGAGAGAGAGAGAGAGAGAGAGAGAGAGAGAGAGAGAAGAAGAAAAAAATTGAAATGGAGTTGAACCAGAGTCACATACGGGTTGATTACTATGGACGAAGCTTGACACGCGTTAGAATTTCAATTGAAAACCGGGCGCCATGGCAAAACTTCGAATGTGTTTATAAGTGACAGAATCGTTTTATTCCCCTTTAGTTGTTACTTTGAAGCTCTCGTTCCAGCGACTTTTGTTTTCATCGCTATCAAGTAGCATTTCACCGTTAAACCCAAGCTGTGGAACGCATGAGGAAGTGGTCGCTTTATATTACGCCATTATAATACCACCTTTGCCACGTCCATGAGCTCCGGGTATTTTCAGCAGGGTGTTTTTGTATTGAAGACAGCTAGCAGACGACTGCAGGCAGCGAACAAAAGACGCGCGCGGCCTCATATTTTCATCTGGGTGACTCCTCGAGGGGCCGAACGGGTTGCAGGCAGGCCGGAATATATTTTGACATCTTATTTCATCTCAGAAGGAGGCCTCCATGCCTGAACATTACTCGTAAGTATGCTGTATTATCATTATATTCTTCCTGTACAGAAATACAATTCAACGGTAGATATACTTCAATCGCGGTTGTTTATTAATTGTGGATGAGAGGAAAGGCTGAGTAATGAATGGTGATATTTATCTTCACGTAATTCCTGTTAAACTATATTTTTAAAAAGTTGTTGTTGTTTGGAATTTTTCAACATAAAGATGTACCATTTAGCGGCTCATATCTGCATTTACATACTTGTTTTAATGAAAATATCAGCTTTGTGGAGTTCGATAAAATGCTCCAGGAAAATGTTAAAACACACCATGATCTACACAACGAGCATATGAAGAAAGAAGGAAATGTGTATATCCTAGTCAAAAAGTGGTCATCATCTATATCTCTGACTTGTTGCCATTACTGACTGAGTGATTATAATTGCTAGACCACTTGACTAATTACTTAATTCGATTGATTAAACAGTAATGTTGATAGATATGTTTAGTAACAAAATGCTTTGTCAGGTTTGTATTTTTCGCACCCATCATAATTATGGGCATTTCAACTTTTCGTTCATTTTCAAAGGAAAGACGATTCCAAGTTACAATGTCAATGAATACATTTAACTGTAAAGAAAAAATTGTGTCGTTATCGCTATGAAATTAAGGGTTCGAACCTATGCCATATACAATTTGCAGTTCACTATATATAACCGCTAAGGTAATAGTTGTGCGGGTTTATTTTTAAACTAACATGCTTTTCATCTTCCCATCTATAAAGTGAGTGGCTTCGGATCCATGGCAAATTTAACAGCATAATCAATTTATTTTCTTTGTCCATGTCAGGTTGTGCGTTTATTTTATTTAGCTAGCAATTCCATAGTTCGTCGTCCACACAAATATTCCTTCAAAAATATGCATTTGGGGGTCCGGACAACAGTCGTTATAACTACTCGATGAAAAAAATGCACAGATTATTATTCGGGATATTATTAGATTGGAGGGTGTGGAAGTGACCTAGGTTGTAGTGTCTTCTTTTTCCCCTCTCCCCCTCACCCCGCCCTTCCCCTTCTCTCTCTCTCTCTCTCACTCTCTCTCTCTCTCTCTCTCTCACTCTCTCTCTCTCTCTCTCTCTCTCACTCTCTCTCTCTCTCTCTCTCTCTCTCTCCTCCTCCCTCTCCCCCCTCTCTCTTTCTCTTTCTCTTTTTGTTTAAACCCTTTTCTCCCCAATTAATCTGAAGGGCACGAAGGTACGCCACAGCGAACATGTATGGCCCATGATAAAATCAAGGTTATCAACTACATTAACAAAAAAGATAAGGCTGCCTGATAAATGTATAGCCGTGTTAGCTTTGTAAAGGAGAGAAAATAAACCGTGGCTTTTTTGCAGGTAGGGAAACAAAACAATGCGGTCTTTATAGACAGGTTCCCTCTGCGCAAGTGGTTGCTAAAAGCAGGTTAGACTACTTAATTTGTATTATTCTTCAAATTGATACGATCGACATGATATTTAAATCATAACGTACATGTATATATAATCATAACGTACAAACATCGCAGTTTTTATATCATTTCGTGCCATATACCGTTTGTTTCCATTGTACTGTCGGTGATTCATGATAATTCGTTCTTTCTGCGTCATCAATGATGACCAGTCCTAGACTTTAAAACGAATCGATATACAGTTATTGAGTTATTGCACATTTCCAAGAAGAAGAAATAGATGTGATTGGCCAATTAATTCCACCTGTACATTTCGAAACCATTGGTTGCTCTCTCCGATCCGAGAGCTTTGCAGTGAGTTACGCTTTACCCGCAACTCATGTAATATGTTAGGTGAGTTCCTTCAACAGGAATAATAATTGGTACATTAAAGATGAATCATCTAGTGAATCTGACTTTGATTTAAAGTATCATGATTTTGATTCACAGATAATATGACGTAATATAAATTCCTATCATTGCGAAGGGAATGTCTTACTGATTCAATATAACAATTTTCCCACTTCAAAATATGTTTGGGGCTCGCAGTAATCATCTCTCAATTGTTTTAATTTGAGATCCACATTTTCTGCCTTCAGCGGTCCTAGCCTTCGAAGAGTGTCAAGATTCGCGACATCAAATGCGAGACACAGCTACCCACAAAATCTTTTTTTTTCTTTTTTTTTTCTTCGCCTTTACATGAAATCTATATAATTTTCCAGCAAATTATTCGTGTTTTTCAAGACAAAATCTTTCCATCTACATATAATTTGTCCATGATTATCAGTTGTCGTGACTTTTCTTCGGGTGATTACTTTAAATTATACTCTCCAAAAAAAATCGAGTGATCACGGACGTCACTCCTCTGGAGAGTGAAAATGTAGTGAAAATAGAGTGAACATTCACTCTTTTCTTCTTAGAGAGCACTCTAAAATAAATCGATTTTCACTCCTAAACAAGTGATCACGGACGTCACTCCCAAGAAAGTGAAAATAGAGTGAAAATTCACTCTTTCTTTTTAAGAGAGTAACATGTTAAAATATTATATATTGAAACAACATTGAACAAGACAATTCGAATGATACCATGCATGACATTGTTTTGTATACAACTTTATACAGGTTATTTTCTACTCTTGTATAATTGAATAAATAAATATCCTGATGACTTTGAAAGTCATAAAAATAACTATTTTCATCAATCAACTTGTTTGTCATCATCATGGCAGTTTTAACCTATTAACTACTGAATTCATTCATTGTCATAGGCATTATGACTGCAAGGATATAGTCTAATAGTGGCAATTTATTCATGGAATATTAGCCATTGAATATATTGAAGCGACATCAATTTGAAATAACCATTATCGTTATTTATCTTCATGATTGTATTATACCATCATCAATCAGCCACCCTGTTATTAATGTGTCTCTGTATTCTCGATTAAATTGTCCAAAGCCAATTAGAAAGAATTTCAGAGACTCAAAAGGGAGGGCTTTCTCTCGGCAATTTTATATAAATTTGCATCACCGCCACGGGGTGAACACCATTCTGGTTTAGTGGTTGTGCCCCCTCCCCCCCCCCCCCCCCCCTCTAATGTCGCCGATGCGAGTAAATGTCGGGTTTAAGAATTTAATTAGAGAGTGTACCGTGCCGTGTGCACTTCGATGGATTATTGCACGGTTGATTTCTTTGAATTTAGATCCAATTCAGATTTGGCAGCACACTTGTCTTTATTCAATATACACGTTGTTTTAAATGTTATTGGTGATGTTGTTTGGTAGATATGATGGTCATGTGACTAGACTAATTCGTATAGATTTGATAATGTATTGACATTACTTACAACATATTTCACATCTTCGTAAATTTAGCTCAATTACTATTTAGGTTTGTCTGACTTTCCCTTAGAATGAAAGATAAACATTGACCTGACAGTTTAAACAAAAAATGTTAAAACGTTTAGTAGCCTACAGAAAAATTGAATTGGTTTTCGATGAGATTATCAAGAACAATCTATTCATGCCATGATATCATTATTTCTAAAATCAACCATAATTGATATCATAACGATAAAGTGTAAGATCAGAGTAACATTATTCAATCGCCATTATAATTATATAGTGTTCTCAAATCATCAATTTTCGATTTAAGTTTTCATCATAAGCCCATTCTCAAAAGTCAACCAGTACCTTTAAAATCGCTAACATGACATGTTTACTGATATTGGATGGGGATCGCGAAGACCTGGTAAATGCTTGTAATTCATATTTTATACAAGCACGGTCTTTTACAATTTTGCATTATTACCCCCCCCCCCCCGCCCCCCTCAACCTCCCAAACAAAGAAATAATGATTGTACTTTTGCTGTGATACAGTTAATCTTTTCATTAACATTTTAGCGTCGATGTGGGACTGCGACTATTATATTGGACTATCATGGCCAAAGACAAGAGAGAGAGAGAGAGAGAGAGAGAAAGAGAGAAACCGCATTAAATCGTTTTCTACGTAACCAATATAATAAGCATAGGGGGAACAAAGACCAATATAAACCAGATTAATATTCCGGTATTTAAAGCGATCGCAGAAAAGGGCAAGGATGGACTGATCCTATTACGATTAATGTACAGGCGTATGAGGGAAGATAATCCTATTAATTATGTCGATGTTTCCTTCAATATTTATTCCATTGTTTCCGCGACGCACGAGGATCGTAGGGTCGTAATTGGAAAACGGGCTTTTAATTTGATATGACTCGATGAACACGCCAGATCGGTTTATTGTTTATAAATTGGGGATATTTGGATAGGGTTGGAGAAAAAAACGATGGTTGCCCATTCGAAGCTTATGTTCTAATTGAATCTCTGATCATAGATTCATACTAGACACGAATGGTGGTAATTAGTTGATTTATAATCAAGTCTATTAAGGGCATGTTTTGTTTGATCCAGCAAAGTCTATGTGGAGGAGGATTTACTGCACATGTTGTGGGTTGGATTATAAAGGGTTAACTCGCATTTGGTGATGAATTATGACTACTAGATTATTGCGCTTTTATTCTGCCATGTTCAACAGTGAATGTAAAATAATTTAGGCTTTACGAATATTTTGTAACGGACAAAAAGCTTTGTTTGATTTCAAGATTAGATTAATATATTAATAGCTGTGGTTTTGGTAGTTGGAGTGAGTTGAGTTTGGAGAGAACTACAGCCTTGTCGATATGACTGAAATCAATAGAAACACCATTGCAAAAGCTTTAAAGCTTATCTGCCGTAGTTTATAGGAGGGATTAGACTGCCCTGCAAGGTCACTGGACAGTGGTTATCTCATCAACTCAGCTCTCAGTTAACATAAGAAAAAGAGGATCATGGGGGACCAATGGTCACCGATTAGTCATTGTTTGTTATATAGAGGGCGCAAGTAGTGCAGTGGGCCTTTAAAGAAATCAACTCGAGGGTAATTTCAATAAACGTAACATAACATAATATCATTCTAATGTTCGAACGTAGTCAAAAGGTGACGTACAGGGCTTTTAAAATTTCATCGTCATTATATTGCATCCCCCAAATGAAAATGAAATATCGGACGAGCAAGCAAGTGCACGGTAGGGGACACGTACCCCCCCCCCCCCGATCTCTCACTGTCTTTTATCAAAACTATACATAACAGTCATCTGATGGAAGTCATGCAGTATTTATATATGTATATATGAAGACATGTGGGAGATACATTATATACATTGGCATAATGAGGGGTTTAGTCATGGGATGGTTGTAATTCAAAGCTATCGAAATTTAAATTTATGGATCATTCTTTCCTAGGGACCTAGTGACGAGGTGTTCCATTAACCTGCCTACATTTTGTGTTGATATGTCAGGCATTTATCAGGCGCCTTCAAGTTGTCAAGAACAACCTTTGTTTAGTAAACCGGTCTATTAGGAAAGGATGAGGCAGAGATCATTAATATTCACACGTTGCATCTCTATATGTATCCATGTTCCTCATTTTATTTTCATTCTCTACCTTTCACAAGGGTGGATGCCTCACCCCGATCGCATTTGTGTTCGTATATGTACTCTTCGTAACCTCCTTTCTCTCCTTGTTTTCATCTTTTATAGAAAATTCTGCAAATTTCATCATCCTACGTTGGCAACAATATGTGACCTAACATCTAAAAGCAAGCCGCCACTTTCAGGTCAAGTGGAACCACCTTTATCCCGCATATCACCTCCGAAACCACAAACATCCACCGAATCGGCTTCAATCACCATGTCACGTGATCAGTCAGCTTGTTGTTTCCCCTTCACTGATTGGCTAGACTATACCTTCACCGTACTGAGCATGCGCATCGGTGGTTACAAAGAACTCGAAGACGAATCGCCGCAGCACCGTACGCTCAACATCCGTTTCCATGACGACGATCGAGAGTGGGTGGAGCGTCATCTTCAGCCGGTGGTGCAGGAGCGATTGTCCTTCTTCCACGCTGTCACCTATGGCGACAAACACTGCACCGGGACGCCTTCGTCTTCGATCATTTCAAAGACGATCTCGAAGAAAGCTTCAAGACCGTGTTCGTCATCAGTAAATCATCCCTTGCCGACATCGACTTCGTATCCATGGTGCGGCAATCGTTTCATCACATTAACCGAGTGAAACTCAAGAAGGTGCTCCTGCTCTTCCTCGACCCTCCCGGAGACATAGCCCTACCGTACGGGGTCAAGTATTACGTGGACAAACATATGCCGTACTTGACATGGCCGGAGAGTGGAGGTAAAAGGGAGTATTTCTGGAAGAAGTTTGTAAAGTGGACATCGATTAATAAGAGACTGGCATCTTCTCTCCCAGAAAGGTGCTATCTTCATTCTCCTTGGCGCCAGTAGTTCATTCTTGAGGCCAGAAATGGAGTAACTATAGTTCTGTATATACAGTGCAACCTGCTTCATTGACCACCTGTATAAAAAGACCACCTGTCTACAAAGACCACATTTTTTGTTTCCCTTGAAATGGTTTCTCATTGAAACATGTACTAAAGGAACCTGTACATAAAGACCACCTGCCTTTAAAGACCACTTTTAGTCTCCCTTGGGTGGTCTTAATAGACAGGTTTCGCTGTACTTGATCGGGAAACATCATTCTATATGAAGCCAATGATTGCTGGAATAATGTATGTATGTGGGTTGAAAAATCATTCATCATGAACTATGCCAGGATACCTTTTCTATTTGCCTGCAGTACCCATTGCATTTATAAACACAAGTTTTAAACATTTGATAGTCACAACGTCATAGAGAAGGAAATAATGATATACGCGACATTAATCTTCTTGAAAGCATTTTAATTGAATTGGAGAGCAAAGCAAATTAAATTGCCCTGACATTTTCTTAATCAAATTAAGCAAACTAATATGTAGTTGATCTTCATTGATTAGCAAAATATGTCGGCATACTTTTCATCATACCAGAGCCCCTCCCCCCAGTTAGTTCTTTTCGTGAAACACATACTGCTAGTTAGCTCACATGCTTTACGCCCCTTCCCCCTCCCACCCCCTCCCTACTATGCAGCCAAGCTAAGGGCGGATGCTACATTTGCAAATGTATTTGATCAGTTTGTTATCCATGCTCGTAACTTAAAATATTATACTAATTCTATCTAACACTGCAAGCAATGTATTCAAACGTAAAGTATTGAAGACACAGAACAAGTATGTAGTCACTTCGATATTTTGGACCGAGTCCAAGTGAGTCTTTGTTCTGTTTGTTATTTCAAGATCATTAAGCCTGGCGACTTCAAAGCACATTGTTGCCCATGAATTTGGAATATTTTAATCGTTTATAATACTAATAATCGGTACAAACCCCCTTCTTCATTTGACTTCTTCCAAAAGCATCTGAACACTGACTCGGACTTCCGCAATTATTTTTTCCTACGACCAAGGGACAGCGCTCTGTATCCTCTGGAAAAGGCGTTATATAAATCCACTAACAACATATAGCTGCGTAGAAAAATGAAAAAGCGTGACATTCCTCAACTACTATTGATGTTGTCATCTTAGATTATATAATGAATTATGCCTCTCTTGCCAAAATATAGTGCAGCATTGCAAATGTATTCAGATTCACAGCAACTTATGCTTTACCCTGTCTTCATCGGGAATAGCGAAGAAAGTCAATATGTTTTCGTTGAGAAATGTATTAATTTGGATTATTTTGTTCATTGTTTACCAATAGTCCGTCAAAACAAATGCAGACAAGTAAAGGTCTATTAGGTGATTTGACCTTGAATTTAATTTGGAAATTTAGTTCAATTTCAGGGGAGAATTTGTGAAAATGATATAAATAAATTCTTAAAATGTTTTGGACATGAAATTTTAGAAGAGATAATAATAATAGGAGGCGTGTCTTGAATTCCATTGTAAATTATTATAGGGTTGTTTTGCAATAATTTCTAGTAAAAATTATTCTCGTTCTCTTTAACAGATCAACAAGTTAAGGTAAAGACTTTTGGTCAAATTCATGCCCATTTTAATTATTCCTTCTCTTACTTTATTTCAATTTATGTCTCGTTTTAATTTGAGAGACCTTGTTGTTTAATTGCTTTAATGGGATTCGGCGGCAGCATTTTGAAATAAAAACTGTTGTGATATTCGATTACTTCTTTTAATAATACTTTATTTTTTAATGGTATAACGAACGAGAGGTCATACGAGAAAAAGCAATTAAAGAAATTAAGGAAACATTAGATTATGGAATTTAGTACAATGGTAACTAAGAAAGAAAGGAGAGAAGAAGAAGAAGAAGAAGAAGAAGAAGAAGAAGAAGAAGAAGAAGAAGAAGAAGAAGAAGAAAAAAGAAGAAGAAGAGAGATGAAGAGAGAAGGAAAAGGTGGAGAAGAAGAAAGAGAGAAAGAAATGAGAGAAGGAGGTAGATAAGAAGGTGAAGAAGAAGACGAAGAAGAAGACAACAACAAAAGGAAAAAGACAACAACAAAAGGAAAAAGACCAAAACAAATAGGGAAGAAGAAAATGGATTAGCAGGAAGAAAAAAAAAAGTAACAGGAATTCAGTGCAAAATCATTAATAGCTGTATTAACCTATAGCACCATATATATGATTTAATAATAATGATAATAATAACAATAATTAATATTGATAATAATATAACGCACTTACATGTATATTGCGCCATGAAACTATTCTGAGGCGCACTATAAAATTAAGGTATTAAGGTATTAAGAAAGAAAGAGGGTATTACAAAATTGATTACAAGATAATACCATTCCAATCTCAAATCTAGCATTTTTCTAGCTTGAAGTCCTGTCGCTATTTTGTGCTCGTTTGTGATGCTTATGTGTAAATACAGGATGCTTCATTAATGTGACAGTTTTTGTTATGCCATTGTGTATTCATTTTGTATGTATTCATGTAACTGCAAATTGATTTTTTCGTTTCAATTAAAATGATCAAAATAATGTTATTATTTCGTATTTTATTATATATTTGATATCAGTCTGACATGTCAACGCTTTTCATATAGAGTGCGTGTGACGTTTAACCTCTTGGTTGGTTGGTTGGTTCTTCGTTTAGATGGCGCTCTTCAATCTCAAAGATTATTTGCGCCAGTCAATTTCGTGTATAGCTTTGGCGTGGGCTTCGGAAATCAAGCCCACGAGCGACTTTCCTTGGTGAAATGAAATTAATAGTGATATGGTTTTATTTAAAAAAAAAAATAAAAAAAGAAAAAAAAAGAAAAAAAAAAAAAAAAGAAAAAGCTGCAATATCTGTTTTGGACAGACACCGTGACCGTAGAGGGTGCAGTTGATATTTTGTGACTGAAATAGAATTGAGCGAGAGAAGGGAAATGTGTAGCAAGTCAACACCATTAGCATTGGACGGTGCAGAGAAAGATCAGTGATAGATAAGGTGTTAGATTAATCAATGATGTTTCTATTATCATATTATAAGATATAGACAATATCTTTAATTAATAAAATGTAAAATCAACTTGCTCCTAGCTAGCTAGGTACAGAACTTATCTTCGCCTAGTCCTCTTGCTCCCCCACACTTCCTTTTTCTCTGTCTTACTCACCCCCCCCCCCCGAACACACAAACATACTTCCTTTCTCTCTCTCTCTCTCTCTCTCTCTCTCTCTCTCTCTCTCTCTCTCTCTCTCATCCCCCCCCCCCTACACACACACAGACACACACACAATTTCTTTCTCTATTTTTTATCTCTCCCTCGCTCACCCCCTCCCCCACATTTCCTTTCTCTTTATCACTCTCTCGCTCACGTACCCCCCCCCTCACACATACTTCCTTTCTCCCTCTCTCTCTCTCGCTCACCCCCCCCCCCCCCCACGCACATTTCCTTTCTCTCTCTCTCTCTCTCTCTCTCTGTCCCGCATTCCCTCTCTATTTCGATTTCCCCTTTCACGTTTTACACCATATCATATACTAAAAGACTTTCATCATAACTTGGTATTCTAGACCAGTATGTTACAGAAACATTGCTCCGTCGTGTTGCAAAGAATTCAGATCCATCAGATAGAGAATAGATGTGTGGAACCTTATCAGCAAAAAAATATAAACAAAGTTGTAATAATAATAACTAATGAAAAAAGATAGACAAGAACTTGAAAAGATGCAAAAATATACAAGACAGAAAATATTGTAAACATTGACACTATCCATATCGTTTACTCTTTTATTAATCCCTTCGTCAACTGTACACACAACCATCCTCCATATGAGCAAGATATATCACAGGTATCACTTCAATGAGACTACAATGCATCCTTGTATAGCATGATTTGTTTTTCAATTAAACATTTTAAAAACTCTTTTTGTATCGAATTCCCTGATAATATATTTTACTATTTTTAACTATCAAGAAATCAAAGGAATTTTTAAAAAAAATAAAGAAAAAGCAATCATGAATAATGGGAATGTCGCAATTGATCTTTATCTCATTATTAGTCATATGGAAGACGTTTATAATCATTGATATTTGATTACATCTAAATCTAATCCACACATGATTATAGATTTTCAAAAATGCAGCATTTGTTGCCGGATAAGGACAAAATTCAACCTCTTGTTGTTTAATATTGAACAAATCAATATTAAATGATACTTCTGAACTCAATCTTTAATAAGATATATAATAATAACAGAAATCTTTAAAAGAAATAATATTCATTAGAACTTATTAATATACATCACACACCATTTATCCATTAGTACTGTGGATGCCTGCTTATTCTTTGAGATACAATTTCAGACACATATAATTCCCTATATTTTAGCTAGGAAATATTTACGGGCAGCTAATACAATACACGGTGAACAAAGCGCATGTTGGCAAAAGTAAGTTAAACTAAGTGAATAAGAGAATAAGTACAAATATCACCAATGCATAAGGCACCTAGGATGGATTTGAAGGAACACTCTAATTACAATGCATTAAAGGTAACAAATACATTATTCATACCTTAATACCATGTTTTGCAATTTTTTAAGTATGTCAATAATTGATTTGTCCCAATTCATGTTTCTTGAGAATGTGACACACAAAGCTTTCATCAACAAGCAATACCCATTTCATTTTTAGTTATAAAAAACACGACAACAGCAACACGTCACATCAAATTTACATTTTGTATGAATAATTCAATTTTAGAATACAATACACTTTTTTTCAACAAACATGTCTCAAAAATAGAATTCATCTGTCTTTACATTAAATTGTTTTTTGATATGTACATTATTCAAAGGACATACTATACCCTTCACTGAAAAGTTAATTTATGACGAATGAGATATCAATAATTGAATGCATTTAATTTATATTAAATCTAAAATTAGGTAAGTGCATAAGGGCAAGAAATCAGGAAAATGTCTGCAAACATACTTGAAAATATAACATGGAGTTTTAACATAGAATTCTAATATATTTTGTTTATTGTTCTATAATCATTGGTTTTATTTAACCATTTACAAACTAGCAAAAAACTTTGATTAGGATCAGTTTGCATATATCCCTTATAAAAAGGCCACATACGATATATAAATTGTTTAACAATCTGTTACGATTCGATACTATACACACAGACTTCTTCCAAGGATAAAGATACTTTAAAATGAAGAAGAATTTTTTTAAAGCAAGAAGACAGATTTAAATCATAGCTCAAGGAAGGGCGAACATCATTATTTCAGGATTCAAGCTCTTTCTTACCGGTATTCACATTACCTCTTTTGAGCAACCAAGTTAGATTTAAACTCCCCACCACCTGGATGTGATATTTTGAATTTAAAAGTAGCCTGATGTCTCGTTGTCTACTGCATCAAAGGATCAGTCTCATTAGACTTACCAGGCTCATCCACATCATCAACTTCCTTATGATCCCTGCGCAGAGAAAGAAAAACAAATCTGATCTTATTATTACAAAATAATTGGCAAATATTTTGGAGTAAGGGAGGTATCGTAGTAGGGTGGTGCACTTGACTGGAAATAGGACATGGATTTGACACCCCCCCCCCCCCCCGCATGGCATGTATGCCCTTGAGAAAGCATTTAATCTACATTGCTCCTTTAAACCCATGTGTTAAATGGATACCTGGTAGCGATGTTAACGTCATTGTGGTTGAGTTTAATGTGCACACTTACTCGGGCGAGTGGCTGAAATGCTCCAATTAACCAAAGAGATACAAGCTTTGTAATATCCTCCTTGAATTAACCCAGTGTAGAATGTTCACTGCCATTCTCAGAATTGCAATTGAATGTGATGACTGGGTTAATATTAAACACTTCAAGCGCTTTTGGTCATTTACGTTGTAACTGGTAAAGCACTAAATAATAAGACAAATGCGACTGCGTCTCTTATATGCCTCTGCCTTAAATTCAGTATAGGAAATGTATGAAATTATTCATGACAACGATGGAAACAACAATTATCTATAATGAAATGTCAACAGAAGACTAAGATCTTGGCTTACTAGCCTCAAAATGTAATAGGATAATCTTCCTATAGTTTGAGCCACATATCTATTGTGGTAACGAGGCTAATTGTTGGAATTTGTTGAAGTTGATCTCTGTGACCTTTGGCCCAGTTAAATTACTCTATTATCTAACCAGATTGTCTTCTTATGGTGATACATACTATCATAAAGTTTTCAGTTCATAACATGGTTCTTAAGATATTGTGATAGCGAAAAAGCAGGACGGACAGACGGACAACCCGAAAACATAATGCCTCCAAAACCACCTTCGGTGGGAGGAGGCTACGGCGCGCCATTCAGTTTATCTATTTACGTACAAGTATAGAATGCCACGCAAATTATTTAGGGGTTGATTTTTTATATTTGTTAGCCTTACACAAATCATTTTTTCAGATGATTGATTGGTACACTTTAAAAATTTAAATTCATAAACGATCTTTTCAATTTCTTTTGAATATGACCAGTATTTAACCTTAATAACTTTTTTTAAAACATGATAACATTAATTGTATGGAAAATTACAAAAAGCTGATATTCTCTTACCCATTTATAATAGAGTCATCTTCTTGATCTATCACTTGCCGACATTTATCGCATACAGTCCTTCGTTTACTATCTGTAGAAATATGCCAATGTACAGCGCATCCCAGAAAGAAAAAATAGAAACCCCAAAGAAACACTTAGTGTATGCACACTATGAGCTTTGTATGATTCTTGCTTTGCATAAGGTAGAAGTAATTTGCTTTCAGATGATAAACTGATGACATAGATAAAAACATCATTCAATACAAAAAATTGTAATAAAATAGGTCTTCGATTGTTCTAAACATTGATTTTTGCATTTTTGA